GACCACTAACTCGCTCTGTGACCTTGAGCTAGTTTCTTTTGCTCTCTGCACCTGTTTCCCCATCTATAAAATGAGGATGGTGGTCGATCCTTAGTAAATATTTGTGAAATGAACGACTGAGAGGATTGGACTGGGGTCTCTCGAATACTTTTTAGCCACAGCATCCTAATGATGGGAGGGTGCAGCCTCTGGGCCCCCCTGCTTGGATGTGAATCCATCTGTACCAACTACCAGCTGTTCAAACTTGGCCAACTCAGCTCTCAATGCCTCGTTTTTCTCCTCTGTAAAATGGAGCTCATAACAGTATCTACCTCATAGGGTTGTGTTGTTATCTTCCAAATTGGGACCATTTTGAGGGTGGAAGGGGCACTGTTAATAATCACGCTCAGACAATAGGTATAAACCAGGACTGTCCCAGGCAAACCAGGACAGAGGGTGACCTGAGGTTTCAGTGAGTAGTGCCTGACACCTAGCAGGCGTCCTCCATGCATAGCTCGTATTGTATTGTTCAACCAGTAGTATGTAGAAAGCTAGTACATAAAACAGCTCGTAGTGGGGCTGCTCTGGCTGAGGAGGGATGGGGGGTTGCTGAGCAACCCCCTCCCCACCCCTCTGGGCCTTGGAGTTCCTACAGCCCTTAGGACTCTGCGGAGCAATTTGAAAACCATCAAGGTTCCTTTCAGCGATCCTGGACCATGATTTATGATTCCCTGACCTGCTGCCCCTCTCCCCAGTGTCACCAGGTCCCTCTGACAGCACAGACCTCACCTCCCATGTGAGCTGACTCATCCTGGTCTCGAATTTCCCATCAGCCCTTGGACTGAGCAAGGATGCACAGTAGAAGATCAGCTGCCCCCATGGGGTCTATGGGTTGTGGATTTCTCTTCCCCCAACCTCCCATTTGCATATGGTGTGCTTACCTGTGCAGGTGTGGGGATGGACCCCCTTACACATCCCTGAGAAGGGAGAGTTCCTACCACATGATTGATGGAGAAACTGAGGCAGTGTGGTTAAATGATCTGCCCAAGATGGCACAGCAGCTGGGGCGGGGCTCCTTCCAGAACTCTCCCCCGACTCCTTGCCTCAGAGACAGGGAATGATCCCTAGGTGGCAACAATACAGAGAGAATTTGGTGGGTCTTTTACCAGCCTAGGCTATAAGTGCGCCAGGAAGGGGTCTAGGATGGGAGATGGGATATATGACAGAGCTTGTGTGGGGCCCCAGGCTGGAGAACACTAGTGACCTAGAGGATTAAGGGGCCAGAGGGCTGGGTGTTGGTGGGATTAAACGTCCCCACGGAGCCTCTCGAAGCTTTTTTCAAGGGCAAGGCAGCTGGGCGGGAGCTGTGGGAGGCTCACTCCCTGCTCTGTGCCTTTCTCTTCCCTCTGCCGCCAGCATCCTCCACTCAAGCTGAATGTGGACTTGCCCCCCGCCCTCCCTCCCTCCACGGCTCTGGGCCCTATTCAGGAGGCAGCTGCGAGGATGCTCCCCACTCCTGGCTCCCCGCTGGGCCCCTGCCTGCAGCTCATTCACAGCCACATTCCTCCAGCTGCCCCCACCATCCCCAAACCAGCCCTAGTCAGGCTGCCTCAAACCTGCCCAACCCAAACATCATTCCAAGAGCACCCCACTGCCCAAAGTGGGTGAATCCAGGGATGGGGCACCCAAGAGGGGGAGCTTTGGGGCCTTCAGCACATTATTAACAAGGAAATTGCATTTGTAGGGTTTGTTTCCCCAAAAGCTCCAAACCGTGGTCCTAGTTCAATCTCATCCCCCAAAGCTGGCCTTGAAGGAGGCCCAAAGGCAGGACGTGCCCAGAAGGGCCAGCCAAGCCCCCAGGGCAGGGGTGCTCCCTGCTTTGCTTTGAATGAGGCAAGTGGAGGTGGTCACCGAGCCTCTGTGGCCTTGGGCCTTGGAGAGCACTGCCCGCCCTGCGTTTGCTTCAACTCCCCACAACCCGAGGGGATGCTCTCCCGGCCTCATAGATGAGGCAATTATAGCGTGAGATGTTTACCCTAAATTACATAAACCCGTTAATGGCCAAGACAAGCATGGGATTTTGCCTTGTTCCTCGCAGCCTCCTTTAGAAGCTCTCAGCTTCTGTCTGGGGCAGTGAGACCACCTCTCTCCTGCCTCTGCACACGTCCTCTCTCTGGCTCTTTCTCTCTGTTGCTTTTTCCTTTTGTCTCCCTCTCTCTACCTCACTCTGCCTCCCGCCTGCCCCCGTGCCCCATGCCCACTATCAGCCTCTGCTCTTGCCCTCATCTTCCCAGGTGGGGGTGGGGGGGAGTTGGGGGAGTCCTGTGTACATTTGTGGAGCCCAGGCAGCCAGCCCCTTCCCTGCCTCTCCCTCTCCCCTAGTCACTCTGCTTCATCCCTGAGGCCTCATTGTTAGGGTGGCGATGACCTCCCATTGTCTGGACTGTCTGGCCCTGGCATGAAAGGTAGAGTTTTGGCAGAGAAGGGAGGCTCGGCCTGATTCCAGCTCATTCTCTGCAGTCTGGAGCCTGTAATGTGCTTGGGGCAGGACTGGCAGGCCATGTTGGGGGGTGGGGGCTTGAGGAGCACAGGGCAGCCCCTGTCACTAGGACAACAGCAGGGAGCCTGGAGGGGGAGGGAAAGGGAGGGAGCAGGTGGTTCTTTGTCTGGAGCTGGAATGAGGGAGAGGGGCCCTTGCCTGATCCCAGCCCCTCCAGCCCACTGCCCTCCCAAGCCTCTGAGGCAGCCCCTGGGAGGGGATTGGCGTCCCTACTCCCAGCCAATGCAAGGCCACTGGGCTTCCTCCCCCAGGCTGAGGCTGGAGAGACTCCATGCTGAGTGGCAGACCACTGCCCCCCTGCAGTGCTCACTGGGGATTTTCCCAGGACTCGCGGCTGCTTCTCAACCCCCGTGCCCACCTCTACCCCCCCATCTGCCCACCCATCACCAGGGCCATGTGGGACCAGGCAGGGCCAGGCTGTGGGGATGGGAGGTGTCCCAAGCACCAGAGAAGGAGACCCTCCCTGGCTGCCATGGCCACTTTCCCTCTCTGGCCTTCACTTGCCTATCTGAGCACTAAGGCGATCAGAACTGTTGCTGTTTGAGGCTCTTTCCGGCTCTAAAAATCTGTTTAGAGTAGGCCTGGGAGACTCCTAGAGCCCTCATCTCTCCCAGGCCCGCACTCCCCTCTTTGATCCTTAAATATCGCTCCTGAGCAGCAGAGCCACCCCTGGAGGCTGAGGGTCGGTGACAAGCAGCAGTGGTGGAGAGGCAGCGCTGAGCTGTCTGGGGTGGAATCCCGCCTCCGCCGCTTGCCAGGCACGTCACTTCTGTGCTCATTTTCCCGTGCCTCTATTTCCTCATCTGTAATATGGGGAAAATAATAGGACCTGCTTCATAAGGCCATTGTAGGAGGTCAAAGAAATTTTATATACATAAAGTGCTTAGAACAGTATTTGGCAAATATTAGGTCTTTTTATTCTTAAAGATCCTTATGGAGCAGGGGGTAGGCGAGTCTCCTGAAATACTGATCCTGTGAACCAAATAGGTGTCATCCTTGAATCCTGGTGTTTTGGTTTGAGGTTAGAGGGACACATGCCGATTTGTAAATACGCCTCGTAGAGATGTCCTCTCGCATTAAGTTCTGGGGAGAGTTGAAATATGACTTGTGACTCTCGGCCGTTTCTCTTGGTTTGTCTTAGAAATGCTGCACACAGAATCGGCCTTCCTAAAATAGTCTTCACTGACCTTATCTAGAAAAGGGGGAAACGTGGGTTTGGTCTTCCGGGCTCCCTTGTCATGCACGGACGTCCGCAATGTCTGTTTGCCTTTTAGAATCTGAGCAACCCACCGCAGCGTCTCCAGGCGCAGTGAATTCGCGTGGGGAAGCGCTTTGTGAACAGGAGAGCTCTTCGCCTCCAGGAGAGCCGGGTCGAGTCATTTTCTAGCAGGGTGTATGTTGGTGGGGGTCGGGGGCATGGGTGGGTTCTGTGAGGAAGGAGGGGCTATGGGAGACGGACAGAAAGGTTATGGGCTTCTCTGGGAGAGACGGATAAGATCCTTTTCTAAGTGAACCAATAAGACTTTCCCTGCAAAATGAGTACCCATCTCTTCATCTGAACATCCACTATTTATTCACCCAACAAATCTTTATCGAATGTCGATTATGCCGGGCTGTGTACTAAGCCCCTGGGATAAGTTGTGACACCAACCGGCAGGCCAGGGAGGAGGCGAAAGTAGACGATGAGAGATCATGCGGGATGGAGGTCGGAGGGATGTCTGCCAAAGTGCAGGGGGACAGCCAGAGCAGACTGTGTGTGCGGGGAGCCTGCCCAGAGACGGACATCTGAGTAGTTGGGAAGGGTGAGTCTCCCAGGGAGACCGGGGGAAAGGAAATCCTCGGGAGAAGGACCCACAGTGAAAAGGTGCGGAGGGCAAAAGGGCAGTGTCAACGAACAAACAGAAACCAGAGCTCAGTGTCTTCGGGGAGCCCTGCCCAGCCCTGTGTGCCTGGGTGTGTTGGTGTGGGAGGCTGTGAGTGGGGCATAGAAAAGGGGCTGACAGCCAGATGCAGAAGGACTTGCAAGGCTGTGCTCCCTGCTCCCCGGGGCCCTGGAACATTCCCCACTGGAGTCCCTCTGGCCCAGGCCCAGGAGTCCCTCGTCTCCCTCCCCTCATTGCCTTTCCACTCCTGCTTTCCTCTGGTCCAGGGTCAGGAGTAAGGGCGGAGAGGAGGGAGGTTAACCTCTCTGAGCCTCAGTTTCCTTCTCCGCACACGAGATGGTTGGGTTGGGTGATCTCAAAGGTCTCCAGGGCTTTCTAGGGTTTTAAGTGGTTATCCATGCCCTATTTGGATGTTTCCCATGAGGGCCTTGGAAGCATCCCAGACACTGCCTGGGCCTTTCCTGGCAGAGAGCTGGGGACAGGAGCTGGCGAGCGGTGATGGAGATGGGGCACCTAAGGAGTGCTGAGAGGGGGGTGGAGCCCCCCTGACCCCGCTGCTGTCTGTGCTTCTCCCTCAGTTTGACCCTGGGAACACGGGCTACATCAGCACAGGCAAGTTCCGGAGCCTTCTGGAGAGCCACAGCTCCAAGCTGGACCCGCACAAAAGGGAAGTGCTCCTGGCTCTCGCCGACAGCCATGCGGATGGGCAGATCTGCTACCAGGATTTTGTCAACCTGGTGAGCGCTCTGGGACCCTTGCCACTGGGAGGGGTCTGTTTGGGGGTTGTGGCTTAGAGGACCCTTTTGGACAATTAAAGGGATCTGCTGGCCCACAGCATTGAGAAAGTCCAGGCTCCAGCAGTTGAAAGAATACCACCAAGGACCTGGTTTCTCTTTGTCCCTCAGTTCTGCCTTCTGCAGTGTCAGCGCATCCTCAAAGAAGCCCCTGACAATTCCAGACCCTCCCATTGTGACAGCAAAGTGGCTGCAGCTGTTCCAGCCCTCACACCCTCAGGCTTCACCACGCAGGGGAAGAGAGGGACACTTCTTGTGGCAGCTCCCGCACAAGGTGTGGGATTTCCTTCCTCCCGTTGGCCTAGATAGGGTCAGTGGGGTGTGTTAATTGACTCAAACCAATCACTGCCCACCCCTGTAGCTGGGAGTGGGGTCAGTTCCATCAAAATGAAGGGGCTGGGAGCGGGAGGTGGGAGGTTATTGTTGGCAGGAGAGGAGCTGGGGAGTGGATGTTGGAAGGGTCAGGCCAGGCCTCTCTGGGAGCAGTGGGGCCCATGAGTTAAGGCCAAAGTTCACTGGACCTGCTTGCAGATGTCTTGGGTTGTCAGAAGGGCTGGAGACAAGAGGCTCATGACTCCTGCCCAGTGGTTTGGTGAGGATTTCCTCCTCACTGGGGGTTACCACTGTGCTATTACGGGGGCTACTGTGGCAGGATTGCAGTGGGGTTCAGTGGGGTTAAGCAGGAAGCTTCCCACCATGGAGTGGATGGGACATCAGTAGAAGCTGCGTGAACTAGCAGGATGAACACAAGGCCGAGGTGTCCACTCGTTTTCCCTGTTGGTGAAGTAGAGACAGTTGCTTCTCTGTCACCCACGGAGGGGGCGAGAGGGAAATGGCTGGTGTGACGTTCCCCAGTCTCCTAGAATTCAAAGGCATTAGTGATGGGGGCCAGCACCGCGCATACCTGTCATGGGCCAGGTGAGCTCTCTGATGTGGAGGCCCAGGCTTTGGAGTTGTTTTAAGTGCCTCTTGGCGGAGGGCCTGCCTTTGCCCAGGGGTCAGCGTGATTGCGGGGAGCAGCTGTAGCGCCTTGATGGACGAAGGAATCTACTGCTGTTCAGAGTGGACCAGGGAGCAGACCTCCTGGAGGCGGGGGGCAGAGCTGAGCTGAGTGGAGCGGGTTGGAGACAGTTGGGATTCATGGGCTGGGCGGTGAAGGTGAGCCCTGTGACTTGGAGCCCAGCAGTGCCACCGAAGACCAGGCCATTAGTTTGAACCTACATAGACTCATCCGCAGCCCAGTACCAGCATGTCTGCTGTGTGCCCTGCCCAGTCTCGGGGCAGAGTGAGGGTGTGGCCGGGCCGGTGACATGCTTCTCTCCCATCAGGGACCCATAGGATCTTCTGTGTGAACTCACAGCAGCAGGTTACTTGTTACCGTCAGGATTTCTCTGTTCAAGTTCTGAGGTGGAGCTGCCAGCCGTGGGTGGGATTCCTGTGAGCAGGGCTGCCCTGGAGACTGGACTGAGAGGCAGCTCACTGGGGGGAGCCCTGGGTGGGGCACGGAGCTCACGGCCTGGAGTGAGGCAGACCTGGGTCCTGCTCTTGGCTTTGCCTTTGCCACTCACAGGGAAAGATCCTCTGAGCCTGGGTTTTCCCATTTGTAAAATGAAACCAAAGGATACCCTCTTCAGAGTTGTTGCAAGAATTAAACAAGAGGAAGTACTTGAAAGTTTTTGTTGTCTCTAAAGTTCTTCCACCAGGTAAACTCCTCTGCATCCTTTGTGAGTCCTTCCCCACCCCAACCCAGGCAGAACAAACCAACCTTATCCAGGGACCGGCCCCATGGCATAACAGTTAAGTGCGCGCACGCCACTGCTGGTGGCCCAGGTTCGGATCCCGGGCGCACACCGACGCACTGCTTGTCAAGCCATGCTGTGGCAGCGTCCCATATAAAGTGGAGGAAGATGGGCACGGATGTTAGCTCAGGGCCGTCTTCGTTAGCAAAAAGAGGAGGATTGACATGGATGTTAGTTCAGGGCTGATCTTCCTCACACACACACAAAAAAACAAACAAAAACCAACCTTATCCAGAGCCCCCACAGTGCTTTGTCCAGGCCTGTGTTATAGCACAGACCATGTTGCATTACAGCCAAGTGGCGAGGGTTGTCGTGTATGGGTGTACAGGTTGTGTACTGTACAAGGATGCCTGGCAGGGGGATGAATAGGGACTGAAATCTGGCCTGGGCTTTGCTCACCAAGGCCTGGAATGGGTGCATCCACCTGGAAGAAGAGGCTCCCTTATCTAATTGGCACAAAAGCGCCATATAATCTAGTGTGGACTCGGGAGTGGAGCAGATATGGATTTGAATCCTGACTCTGTGATTTACTAACTATGGGTCCTTGAGAAAATTACTTACCCTCTCCAAGCTCTGGTCCCCATTTTTGTAACGTGGGGATAGTGTTATGCACCAAATAACTAAAAGGACATCTTCTTTTGCTGCTGTTTACACATCTGTCTCTTCTTGGTTTTTTTTTTTTTTTTTTTTGTGAGGAGATCAGCCGTGTGCTAACATCCGCCAATCCTCCTCTTTTTTTGCTGAGGAAGATGGCCCTGGGCTAACATCTGTGCCCATCTTCCTCCACTTTATATGGGACGCCGCCACAGCATGGCTTGCCAAGCAGTGCGTCGGTGCGCGCCCGGGATCCGAACCAGCGAACCCCGGGCCGCCGCAGCGGAGCGCGCGCACTTAACTGCTTGCGCCACCGGGCCGGTCCCGATCTGTCTCTTCTTGTAAGCTCCGTGAGGCCTGAGACCATAGTTGCTACTGTGCCCAGCACAGTTCTAGGCATGTCAAGGGTGCAGGCGAATGGTGAGTGTGTGTGTGCCCTGCTTCTCCTGTGCTCACGCCGAGCCCGTCCCCACCACAGGTCTTCAGGGTGAGGCCATTGGTATGTTTGTGAGTTTGTGTGCGTTGCACGCCCGTGTGCATGTACACACTCCGGAATTGGGACAGAGGATGGTAAGAGTGGCTACAAAATAATTTAATGATGTGGTTCTGTCTTGGGCTTCCAGTGTACATGGAGCCCCAAGCTCTGCCTGCATTTACAGAACTCCTGAGCCACTAAGAACCAGACCCAAACTTTGTAGGCTTGGAGGGGATGAGAATAGGGAATCGTTGGAAAGGGTTCATCCAGGAAGGCCTGCTGGAGGAGGTGAGCTTTAAACTAGAGTTTGAAAGTGAGAAACAGCAGAAGCCAGGAGTGGGGAAGGGGCACTGCAGATGGAGGCTCGTACCACCTGGGAGGTCTGAACGCAGATCCTCCCCAGCTACCTTCCCCTGACAGGGGTTCAAAGCCCTGTGCCTTGGTCTGGCCTGGTTCACTTCGCCAGCCCTCTCTGGGCTCCTGCCTTCAGGGTTAGCCTAATGTCCACTACTGGGTCCATAGCCCCCAGAATACATTGATAAACCCCAGCTACCATGGAACAACGATCTGGGCACACTGTGGGCTCTGGCGTTGGGAGAGCTATGTCTCTAGGACATCTCCCCACAAGAAGGGTCTAGAGTATGGTCATGGAGGGCAGGTGAGAGGTGGTGGAGGCTTCGGGAGGCTGGAAGTCAGCAAGGCCGTCTCTAGTCTCTAGGAGTCAGGCTGACCGCTGGGTAAGGCAGCCAGGGCTCTTGTGAGGATGTGTCAGGGCAGCTTCAGGCTGCCAACAGCAGGGTCAGTCCTCAGGCAGGACTCTACAAACAGTCCCGAGGTGGCCGAGCGTCACAGGCCCCTTGAAGCACGCAGGAGCGCTGACCTTCCACAGGCACAGCTTTGGGTTCTGGTTCTGGGGACCTCTCTCCAAACTCGCCTGTCTAACCAAGAGCTGCCCACCTCTTCCTGAGCTAGTGTGTCTGAGGACGCTAACTCCTACTCATCCCTCAGTTCTCACTCAGATATCACCTCCTCTAGGAATACCTCCCTGACCACCTTGGGACTGGGTTGGGCTCCCCCATGTGCTCCTGTAGGAGCCTTCACTCTGAACCATGACTGCTGGTTACTTCTCTGTCCCGAGCACCACTGCATCCCCATGTCTGGCAATGTGCCTGACACTTAGTAGTTGCTCAGTGAATTGGATGGATGGATGATGGATGGGTGGGAGGAAGGAAGGTAAAGGGAATATGAATACAGGCTCTGGAGCCTTACTGGGTTTGAACTTGATGGGTCCCCCAGACTCTCTCTGCTTTGGTTTCCTCATTTAGTAGAATTGAGATATTCGTAGTCCTTATCTAACAGGTAGACTAGTTATATCGAATGAGCCAGAGTGTGAAGAGCGTAGAACAATCCCTGACATGTAAGAGCTCGGTGAATATTGCTTCTTGTTAACTATTAGAGAAGAAAGAGAAAAGCGGGATCAGGCCCGGTTGGTGTAGGGAGTGTGCTGGCGGAGAGAAATGGGGCAGGCTCCCCTGAGACGGCAGTTCTGACCATCTCCCCCACCCTGTTTCCTGTGCAGATGAGCAACAAGCGGTCCAACAGCTTCCGCCAGGCCATCCTGCAGGGGAACCGCCGGCTCCGAAGCAAGGCCCTGCTGGAGGAGAAAGGGCTGAACCTGTCGCAGCGACTGATCCGCCACGTGGCCTACGAGACCCTGCCCCGGGAGATTGACCGCAAGTGGTACTACGACAGCTATACCTGCTGCCCCCCGCCCTGGTTCATGATCACAGTCACACTGCTGGAGGCAAGGACAAGGGTGGGGAAGGGGCTGCTCAGCCTTGCGGGGTGGGGGGGAGGGCATGGGGAGAGGTGCCAGGAGGAGAGCTGAGATCAGGAGGGGAAGGGTGGCATCTTCGCCACCAAAAAGTGATGGTTGAGGAGCAAAGAGCAATTGTCATTGCAAGTCAGGCCCTGTTACAGTGCATACAAATGTTATAACCCCTGGACCACAAAGATATTACAAAGATTATTACATCAAGCAATATTGGCTGCAGCAAAATCCCCATAGGACCACCCCCACCAAAAACAACAGCTGCAAAAACAATGTAATAAGTTCATTGAGGTGGCGGATTTAGCCAGGCTAACTCATTGAAATCAATTTATTGTAGTTCCTCCCCGCTGAGTAACGCGGACAAGTCATTTGCTCCCCTGGAACTCCATCTTCCACCTGTGAAGTAGGAATAACCAGACTTGCCTCCTTCTCCCAGAGGACTCCTCTGTTTAGAGCGAGAGAGTGGCTGGCTGTGCTTTCTGAACAAAAAAGCATCACACAAATACACAGGGTAGGGAGGGTTTATGAACAGGTGAATGTGGGCTTCACGTATTCTGAAAGAACATTCTCCCCTTAGGGACTCCTCCGTCCCTATTGTTATTCTAAAAGTCTCCTGCTTGTGCGACAGAACCCAAAGGTGCTTCAGTGCCTGTGTGTGAGGAACTCCGAATTCTTTTGGCTGTTCAGCCCAAGAACCTGGGAGCCCCCCCCGACCCCGCCCCTGAATGGATGTTTGGCTTCCCATTGGTATTTTATAATCTCCCCCATTTCTCTTCCAGAGCGTCGGGCCTAATTACCACCCAGCATATGTTCTTGTAAAGTCCCTGTCGAATCAAATGACAGGATCGTTAAGCTTCATGGCATCCTCCTCCTCCTTCTTTTCTAAGTCAGAATATCTGGTCTGCAGGCCAGAGCTCCTCTGTTTGTTGTTATGGCTTCATCCAAGTACATGTTGCAGTTGTGACTGTGCTGAGATATTCTTGGACTCGTTCTCCAAACGCTTACTGTGTTGGTCTATTTATTAATGTCTATTTGAGGACCAATAATAATGAGCTGCCTTGGAAGCTGTATTTGCTGCCAGGCCACCCGCATTGTGTTAGGTGGACAGAACGGCTCCCCAGAGAGCACAGGGAGTCCAGCTGCCGGGGGCCTGAGCCATTCCCAGGCTCAGCCCAGGAGGTCTTCACCCGACACTGTTCCAGCTGTGCTCACTGGGTGCATGCTGGGCACGTGGCTGGCTCTTCGTGTATTTTATCACTTTCAAACCTCACGACCACCCTGGAGCTGTAGGCATTGGTATCCCCATTTCCAGATGGGGAAACCAAGGATGAGAAAATTCAAATAATTTGCCCAGGGTCATCCAGAGGAGCCAGATTTTGTGTCCAGGTTGGTTTCAAATTTCCAGAAAGCTCAGCTGTGTAAACTCGAACCACCAATCTAGAAGAAACTGGAAAGTGCTGAAATAACTGTTTGAAAGTCCTTGGACTAAAGCCCAAGGCTTTTGTTTTACATAGAATTCTAGTAATCTGGTTTTCTGATTCTATAACGGAGAGAAAATAGAAGGGGCATGGTGGGAAGCTACTGGAAGGGGCCCACTGCCAGCCAGCAATAGGAAGTAAGAAGCTAGTTGTAGTACCTGGTTAGCTGACAACCTGGCAGTATGGGAGAGGACAAAAGAAAATTTAAAAGCAGACCTGAATCTTAAAGAAACACAAGAATTTGGGACCGTTTAGTTAGTGTAGGAGCGAAAACCCCCATCAATTGCTAGAGAAGACATCAGTGCTGTAGCCCAGATCAATACCTGAGGCATCCTTCAGAGGTTATGCATATGCTCTGATTAAGAACATAGGGACATGAGTGATGCATTTTAGAGAGTTTCAAAAAAAAAAAAAAAAGTTAAAATAAATACCCTTTTAGGGCTTAAACAAGTATGCTTCAGTCATCTGCACAATCAGCGTGTATGGAGTGTTGGTGAGGAGGCAGAGAAATTGGAATTGTGCACTGCTGGTGGGAATGAAAAATGGTGCAGCCACTATGGGAAACAGTATGGCGGTTCCTCAGGAAGTTAAACATAGAACTACCATATGACCCAGCAATTCCACTTCTGGGTATACACCCAAAAGAATTGAAAGCAGGGGCTCAAAGAGATGTTTGTACACCTATATCCATAGCAGCCTTATTCCCAGTAGCTAAGATGTGGAAGCAACCCAAGTGTCCATTGGTGAATGAATGGATGAGCAAAAGGTGGTCTATCCATACAGTGGAATATTAGTCAGCCTTATAAAGGAAGGAAATTCTGACACGTGCTACAACATGGATGACCCTTGAGGACATTACGCTGAAATAGTGAAATAAGCCAGTCACAAAAGGAGAAATACTGTGTGATTCCACTTATATGAGGTACCTAGAGTAGTCAAATGCTAGAGACAGAAAGTAGAATGGTGGTAGCCAGGGACTGGGGGGAAGGAGAATGGGAAGCTGATGTTTAATGAGTACAGAGTTCTGGTTTTACAAGGTGAAAAGAGTTCTGTGGATGGATGGTGGTGATGATTGCACAACCATATGAATGTATTTAATGCCACTGAGCTGTACGCTTAAAACTGATTAAGATGGTAAATTTTATGTTATGTGTATTTTACCATCATTTTAAAAAAATCAACTTATGTGGAATTGCCTCATCTCCCAAGTGGGTATGTGAGTTATTACTGGAATTAAGGTTTGAAATCCTCTAAACTCTTCCTGCTTAGTACCCAGGAAGTGTGGGCAGAGACTGTGTGACCATTTTGTGAAGAATTTAACATAAAATAATCAAACAGAAGTAGAGTAAGAGATAGTTGAAAGCTAGGTTGGGCACTGGCCGTAGGGGCGTCCCTCATTCTCTGAGGAGGAAAGATGACAATTTCCAGAAGAATTCCAAATCTTTCTGAATGTCAGTGATCACAAGAGGGGTTCCTGGGGAACTTTGCACTTAATAACAGGCCTTCTCCATTCTGTGCTTTTATCCAGGTTGCCTTTTTCCTCTACAATGGAGTGTCGCTGGACCAATTTGTGCTGCAGGTAACCCATCCACGATACCTGAAGAACTCACTGGTTTACCACCCACGGCTCCGAGCACAGGCTTGGCGCTACCTGACATACATCTTCATGCATGCAGGGTGAGTACCTGTCTTCTTTCGCTCTATCAAGAGTCCCTATGGAGGGGCCGGCCCCGTGCCTGAGTGGTTCAAGTTCCACGTGCTTGGCTTTGACGGTCTGGGTTTGTAGGTTTGGATCCCAGGCAGGGACCTACACCACCTGTCAGCCATGCTGTGGCAGTGTCCCACATACAAAATAGAGGAGGATTGGCATGGATGTTAGCTCAGGGCTAGTCTTCCTCCTCCAGCAAAAAAAAAAAAGAGGAAGATTGGCAACAGATGTTAGCTTGGGGCGAATCTTCCTCAGCAAACAAACAAACACAAAAAAGAGTCCCTATGGAAAAATAAATGGTCCAGATAGCTTGGATTGAAATATATTTTTTAGTTTATTTTTATCTACCTGGACAAGAGATTTGAGGTGGCTCCTTGAAACTCATTTCATACCAAAATATGTGAGTAAATTATTGAGAGTGTATGGGAAAGGGAAAATAGAGAAAGGAAAAGTGCTAAAAGCTCTTGGTGAGATCAGCACACACATACACAGCATGTAGTTCTATGTACTTGCTAGATAGGTTACAAATTTGTTCTGAGCTTCCTAGTCCCCAAAGCAAAGAGGGAAATATGGTCAGCCACCAGGTTCATTGTCTATAAACTGTCTGTGTGTGAGTGCCCCCATAAGCGAAATAAAGGACAGATTTTTTTAAATCACCTTTCTCCCAGAGTGGCCTCCCTATGTGATAAAGAGTCTTCCTGAAGAACTCTGGCAATACTTACAGTTTCTGTTTACAGAGCCATGTAGCCTCTTTTGGGGCTGGAGTGCAATCAGTTCTCACTGGTCCTCCTACCCCATGATAAGGACCTACCAACTGGCCAGGTGACCGCCCAGGTCCAAGTCCCTTGAAGAGCACGATCTTGGCTGGAGATAGTTGTTACATAGTAGAAGCGCTGAGAAAGCAGAGTCTCCGGACACCAGACCTCTATGGTGTCTTCTACAGGCTCTCCAGAGAAGTGAAGGAGCTCACTGTTAGCCTGGGAGAAGCCCTGGGGTGCCTGTCCCTGGGGTTGGGAATGGAAGAGGATCACTCTGGCCCCCATGGCTCCAGCATTCCCATTCCTCGGCAGAAAGAGCCACTGTGGCCAAGAGGGAGCCCCACTGTGAGCCTCCCTTCCTGCTGAGCCTCTGTAGCGGGCACAAGAGCCAACCCCTAACTGGCTGCACCTGCTGGGGAGGGGGCTTCGGGGTGAGGAGACATCTCGATGGTTACTGATGGATGTTTCCCCTCTGAGCCTTGGGGACCATTAGTACAGGCTGTTTGCCTTGCCTCCTGTGTCCCAGCTTTGATCTCACAGGGCTAAGGAGCAGAGTGAGGGGGGTGCGTCACACTGCCATCTTCTCATGAGCCAAGATCTGGAGACAACAGGAACAGCAGGGACTTCCTTGCCCAGGCTGCCCAAGCCTGTGGCTGCACATGCGTTGGGTCTACCTGCCTTATTTCCAGGACTGCCCTCTGGCCTTCCCTGGCCAGAGGATAGGGAAGGGGTGAGAAAGGAAAATGGACAAACCCTCCAAAGCTTTCTTGTCCATTCTGTGCCTCCAGGAGCTGGAAGCCAGGAGACCGCAGTGGACAGGGCACAGATGCTCTCAGCTGAGGCCCATGGGGTGGCCTTGCGCCATTCTCTGCTTCTGATGGGGCGATGCCCACCAGGGAGAGCCCTGGGAGGATTCTCCAGGTCTGTGACTTTGAGGGAGGCTCTTGGCTGGTGCTGCAGTAAACAGGAGATAAGGATAGCTGGCCAGCATCTGGGGAGGGCCCAGCAAGGTGACCTATTACTCAGGGACACACTCTGGGCCAGGGAATCCAGAAGTCACTGTGGTAAAGAAGAAAGAGCTCAGATTGGGAGGCAGGAGCCCTGGCTTCCCCTCGCCTGGCCTCTTCCAGTCTCGGGTTCTAGGCTGTAAACCAAGGAGGTGGGACCAGAATACCTCTAAGGTCTCTCTGACTAGGAGTCTGATGCTACCCCCCAGCTCCTTTCCAGTGAATTTGTCTGACACTTCTAATCTAGAATCCTTCGGGTAGCACACTCGATGGGGGCTAGAAGATTCCAGGCGTGGTGGGAATTCTGGACAGAGCCTGATCTGTCTGAGCGACCTCACAGGTGCCCTCCTGAGGAAGCAGGTGCCCACGTGTCCCACACGGGGCACAGCAGGTGGCCTCCAAGTAGGGTCCTGCAGACCCTGCAGGGCTGTGACCAGCCAGGATCCAGACCCCTCCTACATGCTCTGTTACCCTATAACTTAAGCATCTCCGGGAGCTGTCCAGCTGCTGTAGGCTCAGTTTAAATGAGATAATGGGTGTTGAGGTGCTCTGTAACCTGGAAAGCACACATTGATGTGATAATAGTAATGTTACAGTCTTTTCTGGTAACATAGGCACTCAACTAGACACTCCATTCAGCAACAAGATCTGGTCACAGGTGTACAACAGTGTAAAAAGAAAGGCAATCACAGGGTAACAAAAACCAATCCTGAGTGTTTTGGGACAGAACAGGTTCCTTCTCACACCAGGAAGGAGAAATCCCCTCTTAGATTTTAAAGGATGACTTGAATTATTAAGTTCTAAGAGATATCTTTAATGTTTGCACTTGTTTTGGAAACATTTTTCTCTTTAAATATCAGTTCTCTTACAAATACAATAGTGGGCCAGAGTGTCCTCCTGGCCTGGTGAATGGAGCAGGTCCCTCACATCAGAAACCTGGGCTATGGTCCCAGCTGCCACTAACCAGCTGTGTGACTTTAAGCTGATCAGTGCCCCTCTCTGAGCCTCAGCTTCTCATATGGCAACCGATGGATTTGCTGGATCTTGACCACGGTTAGCCCCTCTCACTGTGGCAAGTGCAGACACTGCCAGTCACTGCCCAGGCCCTGCACTTGTGTTCCTGTCCCCGCTGGCAGGGAAGGTGTGGAAGGAACGCTCTTTCCAGGTGGTATGTCTGCATTGTAATTCCTTCCCACCCAGACCGTGAGCTCCTCAAAGGCAGGTATAGGGTCTTGTTCACTGCTGGATCCCCCAGCACCTTGTTGAATGAATGGATGGATGGATGGATGAGTGAATGGATAAGTGTGGTCTCCTTGTACAGGATAGAACACCTGGGACTCAACGTGGTGCTGCAGCTCCTGGTGGGGGTGCCCTTGGAGATGGTGCACGGAGCGACTCGCATTGGGCTTGTCTACGTGGCCGGCGTAGTGGCAGGTAGGCAGGTGGGCCCCGGGTCCGCAGGGGTAAATCTCCCCAGGGTGTCTGGGAGACACGATGGAGTTGGGCAAGCCCCAGGCTTCCAGGGGACCCAGAGGACCCTCATTGTCAAGATTCCTGACTCCTTGGGTTGTCCTCCAGGCAAATCTCCCCATCTCCCGGGGAGGCTGGAAAGGAGAGGGAGGGAGGCATGTGATGGCAAAGGGGAGGAGCGCATAGGATTTGGAACGGGCAGACTGACTGGAGTGTCAGCCTTGACACCGCCACGTTGTAGCTGTGTGGGCTTGGGGAAATGCCTTAACCTCTCTTGGGCCCCGTAGGCTTTAAGAGGGAACTGATGAGATCTTCCTGTAGGGTGTTAGGAGGATGGAGTGAGGTGACAAGTGGAGTAACAGTGCTATGTAAACTGTGCAAGGGCACAGTGAGATCCCTATAGGGACATCCAAGGTGTGGGTGGAGCCAGTACCTCCGCTGGCCAGGCCAGCACCTGTACCCAAAGGGAGATCTTGCTTCTGCCAAGGCCGGCCACTGTCCCCTTGACTGACCCACTGCTGTCAGGAGAGAGTCTGGCCTAAAGGTAGTGGGCACTCATGCCAGCCAGAGGAGTCTGGGGCCCCTGGCGGACTCGGCTCATGGGGCAGACGTTCGTGGTGATCACGCCTTGTGGATAGTGGCCAGCGTGACTTCCCCCTCCCCATCCCCAGTGGGAGGTGAGGTGAGCTGGGAGAGCAGAGCAGATTTCTGCAGGGAAAGTCTGCACCAACCAGGCTTCTGAACAGAGGAATTTCCCTTGTGATGCTTCCAACTTTATTGCTGGCTTTTTTTATTTTACAAGGTTTGCCGCCTCAGCTCTTCACTTTGACAGCTGTGCCCGAGGGAGCTTTGTGTGTATGTTTAAGTAAGATCTTAATCCTTTCTGAGTGGCATTAAAGTTGTCATCAGGAGAGCGGGACAGCATCGGCCTTGTAAACAACATGCAGGCAGGGACCCTGGGAGGAACTGAGGTGGCTTCAGGAATTGAAGAGGGAAGGGTCCCACCCCGCCCACCCCAACCCACACGAGGCTAGTCTGCTGGTTCGTGAGCCCCCAGCCTGGGATATTGGCTCAGCCCCGTCTCCTTCGCTTCTCTATGTGCTGAAGTTAAAAACTTAGCCACCTTGGACAGCACCCACGTAAGCTTCTCCCAGAATCCAGCACCTTCCTCATCCTTGAACAAAGGTCTGATGAGTGTCTCTGTGTGCCAGACTTACTCAGCCACCCACACACCCCCAAGTCTTGACATCTGGGGATTTATAACCACATTTTCCATACCTAGATACTCAGAGACCCAGATGGTTAACGGCGAGGAACAGGAAAGACACTCGTAACACTTGCAGTTAGTAGTCAATTAGGTGGGAGTGCCAATAACCTAGAAGACAGAAATAAGATTCAGAATGACTCAAGCTTCCCCAAAAGCAGATGACACGCAGCGGGGAGACAGTGCAGGTATCACTTCCCAGTGATACTAGTGCAGAGTGGGATGATGCCCAGACAGAAGGAGGGCTCGCCAACTAAATGGGAGAGTGTGAGGTTGTGTTGTAAAGCAAATGACATGCACTTTTCTGTCTGAGTCATTGATCCAGGCCAGAGGGCACTCTGGTCACCACATATCATGTCATTGATCTCCAGGATTGAGTTAATTGATCCGCCTGCACCCCTTTCTCACTCTCTGCTCTGTATGCATCCCTCCTCGGGGGAGGGCCAGTTCACAGACAGCCAGACCCTGACTGGATAGCCAGTAGTTATCAAGTGCCTGCCCTGTGCAGGCTGTATTTAATCCTTACAACAACCCCATGGGGCAGCTACTGTTACTCTCCACCTGTTACAGAGACAGAAACCGAGGCTCAGAGAGGCTAAGTGACTTGCCCAAGAAGGCACAGTCATAGGTGGTGGAGCTGGGGTCCACCCAGGCTGTCTGACCCCAAAGGCTGTGCTCTAAACCACTACCACAGTGTAAAGAGAACCAAAAGGTAGGCCTTTTCCTTTGTGCAGATAATTTATTGTCGGAGTCCGAGGGAGATGTCTTAATAGACATCTGGCCTTGCTCTCATTCCTGCCCAATGAAGATACTCTAAATCCAAGGCCATCATGTTTTGTAACAATGATAGCTAACCTCTCCTGAGCACATCTGGTACTCCGGGCATGTGATAAAGGGGTCACGTATGTTATCTCCTGTATTCCTCACTACAGTCTTATGAGGTGGGACTGTCACCTGCATTTTATAGGTAGGTCATAGAGGTGAAATGACTTGCTCGATTTGTTCAGCTCAGAAGCGCTAGAACCAGAGTAGAAAACCTTCTTCCACCCTGTACTTCTAACTATGCTTGAAGCCAGTGTGTATCTCACTTCTGGCTGACAATTATATGGCTAACGATTTAAATACTTTAAAAATGAGTCTCTTAGGGCCGGCCCCGTGGCTTGGCAGTTAAGTGCGTGCGCTCTGCTGCTGGTGGCCTGGGGTTCGGATCCCGGGCGCGCACAGATGCACCGCTTCTCCGGCCACGCTGAGGCCGCGTCCCACATACAGCAACTAGAAGGATGTGCAACTATGACATACAACTATCTACTGGGGCTTTGGGGGATAAAATAAATAAACAAAAATTAAAAAAAAAAAATGAGTATCTTAAATGCTCCCCAAGCTTTTATTATAAATTATGTAGATTATAAGCCATGTGTGCCTCCCCAGAGCCTAGCATGGGGTTTGGCACATGTTACGTCACAAATATTTGTAGAATAAATGGAAGAATATATAAATAAATAAAGTTATATTGCTTAAAGGTAGATGTTCTGCCGATTTTTACTTGGATTTGTTTTTTTATAACGGCCGAGGGAGATGTTGGAGAACACCTGCTTTAAATTTCCCAGGCTAAAATTATCGCAGCTGTACATTATGGCAAAGTCACCCATTTATCCGCATGCTGGTATGGACCCAGAATTTTTTTTGGAAAATTTATAATCCTGACTAGAACTAGTCCTTTGGCCTGCTGCCGTGCAGCAGGGTGGTGTGTCACTCCAGCTTGCCATTCTCTCCCTGTCCTCTGCCCCCACGACCTGCGTGGAATTCCTACTGGCCTTATCGAGCTGACGTCTATTAGGTTCATAACAGCTTGTCAGGAATCCTGCCTGGGGCCGGCCCCGTGGCTTAGCAGTTAAGTGCGTGCGCTCCGCTGCTGGCGGCCAGGGTTCGGATCCCGGGCATGCACCGACGTACTGCTTCTCCGGCCATGCTGAGGCCACGGCCCACATACATCAACTAGAAGGATGTGCAGCTATGACATACAACTATCTACTGGGGCTGTGGGGGGAAAAAATAAATAAAATCTTTAAAAAAAAAAAGGAATCCTGCCTGGCCCAGGCTCCCTGCTCTGGCATGGCCTTTATTACCATATTGATATGTGTACATACCCAGGTTTGTATTTGATCTCTCCCAGTCCCTCTAGTCCAGAGCAATTTGCAGTCACTTGAGGAAAGTCTTTCTGCCACAAATGGAGAGTATGTGGGTCCAGATTGTTACCTTCAAGATTCTAGAACCAAGATCCCAACCTCAGACCCTGGATCTTAGGCTAAGACTCGGATTATTGAATTTCTGATCTGGAAGGAACCTTTAAGGTCCTCTCCAGTGGGTGGCAAACTTTGCTTCCCAGGTCCCACCACATTCAGCCAGAGCTCTGCTCCGTGGGGTAGGGGTATGGGTGAAGTTGCATTTGAAAAGAGGGTTTCACTGCTCAAAAGTCCAAAAAACCTTAGATCTCACTTCACCGATGTGAAAACTGAAGCTCAAAGAATTCCAGAGCTGTGCCCGAGGTCACATAGCTAGCCGGCCACGCCCCCATTCCATACTCCTGCCACAATCCCAAACTGACCCCTGGCCCTGGGGTCAGGACTCCAGTCCATGGGTAGGGTGAGGGAAAGGTCAGTGTGTGGAGGCTGGACCCTGGGGGCTTCCCTGTCGCCTTTCTGCCCTGGTGGATTGCGCTGGGGAGGCTGAGGGAGCAGAATCTGGGCTGGTTTGTAGGGACTTGAACCGAGGAAAGAGGCCAGCCCAGGGAGGCTTGGGCTTTCTCTGTCCAAATGGTAATTAATGAGGAGCAGCTCGGGCAGCCAGCCCTCCGCAGCCCTGCAATGCAGCCTTCCTAGCCAGCCCCGTCAGGAGAGCGTGGGAATCCTTTGTCATGCAGATCCCGCTGCCTGCCTGTTTGCCACTCTGGGATTTTTTTTCCTGTTATATATGGCTGACCCCGTGGCTAGGCAGTCAAAAAAAAGAAAGTTATCTGACAATAGATCAATACCTAATTAAAGCTGGAGGGAAGGCATGAAAGGGGAGAAGAAAGATTTATCGTTGCCCTGGGAGGGGAGAAGGACTTGGGAGTTCTCAGTTCATGACAGTTTGTTTTTTCCTGGGAGATTACATCCCCCTTGAGACCAAGAAACTGTTGTGGGGATCTCTTCCTTGAAGGATCTCAGTGAGCCAAGGAGCCTTGGGAGAGGTGAAGTGGGTAGGTGGGGAGGAGGCGGATGATGTTACAGGGGCTCTTCATGCCCAGGGTTGTCAGGAGCTCTGGTTCCTGAGCTGAGCCCTCCATCCCTATAGAACCTGCAGAATTTGGCTTTCCGCCTGTCCCTCCTTTCTCCACCCAGGCAGCCGCTAATTGGCTCTTGAGCCTGCGGGCATGTTCCAGTGGTGATTTCTGCACACTCACCCAGGCCAGCCACCTCTCTTCCTCTGAGCCCTGGGCTCTACCTCCCAGTTATTTTTAGTCTACCATGTCCTTCCCTGGAAGCCAAAGCATTGATCACACTTAAATGAGACCAGAACAATACATTTCCCATCTCCTCTCTGCGCAGCTGCCCTCCCAGGATAAAAGTTTGTCATCCCCCAGACGAAGATCGCATACCCTTCCTTTCCCCCAGAGGGTGTGACATCATCTCTCTCTCTTCCCTGGGACTTTTCAAGGACATTTTTCCTCCAGAGAAGCCCCATTGGCTCTGGAAATCCTGTTGGCCTTTTGTGATTTCACTCGGCTGGAGGAAGGTTAGAGGTGATGCTAAGCAGGTTTCTGGATACTGTTGAGCAGAAAGAGGGATGGTAGATGGTGGAGGACCTCTGTACCAGTTTGGGGAGTGGCTGCTGTCGAGGCCACGAGCAAGGCTTTGTGTCAGGCAGACCTGGCCTCAAATCTTGGTTCTAGCCCTTCCTACGAGCTGACTCGGGGCTCAGTCTCCTCATCTCTGCAATGAGGCTACTAGCACCTGCCTCCACGGGGTGTCTGGGAGGTTAAAGGGGAGAATGTAGGTAAATGCTTGGCCAGTGTCTGGCACACAGTGCCCCATAAGTGGTGGCTGTTTGTGCAATAACTACTGCTACGATTTTTGTTATTGCTCAAAACCCTGAGATAGCACAACATGAGGCAGAGGTTGGATTGTCAGGCAGACGATCTGGGTCACAGTCCAAGTTCTACTTTGGGCAAGTCACTTCCCTCCTTTGAGACTTTGTTTCCCACTTGTAAAAGGAGAAGTTTGAATCAAATGGTTCCTTCAGCCATAAATTAATCCTCTAGGAAGCTCCAAGGCGACATGGGATCAAGGGAGGAAGAGACGGGGCCTTTTGCTCTGGAGTCTTACCCCCAAGGCTGCAGCATCCAAGGGCCTGGGGCTGGGATAGGGACCCCATTCCAGCCTTCTTGAATTCTCGATCTCTCTCTGTACCAGGGTCCTTGGCGGTGTCTGTGGCTGACATGACCGCGCCAGTCGTGGGCTCCTCCGGAGGGGTGTATGCGCTCGTCTCTGCCCATCTGGCCAACATCGTGATGGTGAGCACCTCCTGTCCCAGCCGGCCTTTCCTGGCCGCCCCTCTGCCATCACTGAGCCCAGGCGTTAATGAGCTGGAGCTGGGTTTCAGATCCTTCCACTCTCCAGCCCAGGCCCAGCAAGCGCCAGGCAGACCTGGCTGGTAGCAGAGTTCACAGACATTCCTCACCCTGCAGGCCCATTTCAAATGGGGCCCTTCAACATCCAGTTCATATTTTCTCCAGTCATGGCTTTGCTTGTGAATTTGCCCATCTCCCTATTCTACCTCTTTCCCACTCGGTGACTTTAAAAAGTGTTAAAATTCAGGGCCGGCCCGGTGGCTTAGCGGTTAAGTGCGTGCGCTCCGCTACTGGCCGCCCGGGTTCGGATCCCGGGCGCGCACTGATGCACTGCTTCTCCAGCCATGCTGAGGCCGCGTCCCACATACAGCAACTAGAAGGATGTGCAACTATGACATACAACTATCTACTGGGGCTTTGGGGAAGAAAAAAAGAGGAGGAGGATTGGCAATAGATGTTAGCTCAGAGCCGGTCTTCCTCAGCCAAAAGAGGAGGATTAGCACCGATGTTAGCTCAGGGCTGATCTTCCTCACAGAAAAAAAAAGTGTTAAAATTCTTGACCACTAGTATGCGTCATAATTGTAGTTCGTTGTTTGTCACAGATTGTTAAAAGTAGAGCAACCTTAGAGATGATCTCATCAAAAATCTCAAATAAGAAAGGAGGCTCTGAGAGGTTAAATGATTTGTCCGAAATCACAGTCAAGTTTGTGGCAAAATCAGGACTTGAACCCACATCTCCTGACCACCATTCAAGTGTTGTTCCCCTATATCAGCCTCTCACGGTGGCAGGACACCATCATTCCATTTCTCACGCTCTCCTTTGCTTTTTCCTCAAAGGGAATTCAGTGTAGCGGTTAAGAGCAAGGGCTTTGGGGCCGACCCCATGGCTTAGCAGTTAAGTGCGCACGCTCCGCTACTGGCAGCCTGGGTTTGGATCCCGGGCGCGCACCGACGCACTGCTTGTCCAGCCGTGCTGAGGCCGCGTCCCACATACAGCAACTAGAAGGATGTGCAACTGTGACATACAACTATCTACTGGGGCTTTGGGGAGAAAAGGGGAAAAAAAAAGGAGGAGGATTGGCAACAGATGTTAGCTCAGGGCCGGTCCTCCTCAGCAAAAAGAGGAGGATTGGCTTGGTTGTTAGCTCAGTGCTGATCTTCCTCACAAAAAAAAAAAAAAGAAGAAGAAAAAAGAGCAAGGGCTATGGAGCCAGTCGGCCTAGATCTGAATCCCAGCTCCCCGCTTCCTAGAGTGACCTTGGGCAAACTACTTAACTGCTTTGTCCTCAGTTTCTGTGTCTGTGAAATGGGATGATATGTGATGAATGAGATAAAATGAAAATAACCACTCAATATAAATGTTAACTCAATTCCCTACTCCTCATAGAAGAGGCCTGGGTGGACTCAGAATAGAGACGAGGTCTTCAAGGCGAGAAATTGGAATCAATCTGATAGTCTCCAAGAGGCCAAGGAAGACTGCTTCCTTGTTTGGAAGTAGTCTGAAGTTTGGGGGCTGCAGGAGGAGTCACTGGCAGTGCTTGGTTAACCCTGCCTGATGCCCCTGCTGGCCTGGGAGTTTCCAGGCAGGGCCCGGGTATTACTCATCTATCCCCAGTGCCTGGCATAGGGCTGGACACGTGGTTGGTGGTGCCCACTACATTTTGGTGAATGAAGGAAAGAAGGAAGGAATGAACAATGTCCAGAAAAGGCATAGCTTCTCTTTGGGGTCCTCCCGCCCTCACCTCCCTCCTCCATCACTATCTTCACCACGTGGCAGATGTGTGAATGCTCGGTTACAGCAGGTTTTGGAGTTCCTAAACTCTCCCACTTCCTTATTACTGCCACTATCACCTGCCCTGCTCCTCAACATTAGCCTTTTTCTTTTCACCAAAGTCCCCTTTGTACCCTGAGAGAGAGAGAACACGAGGGGGAGAGAAGGAGAGACAGACAGACAGACACTGACTGCACTTGCTACTTGCCTGAATTTTGCAACTTCAAGTGAGCACTTGGAGAGATACAGCAGGTGTGGGAAAGCCTGTGTGAATGTGCGAATCTGAGTGTTTGTGCACGTGTGTTACACACGCACATGGCTCGGTCTGCCAAACCTGGGAGCACAGGGCTGCCTCACATGGCCCTTTAAATGGGTCATTCTGTATCAGTGCCACAGCTTTCCCCAGACACAGCTTTTCCTCTGAATTCTGCCTCCTCCCCTCCCCCTCCCCCTGCCCCAATTCCTTTCTGTAGGGGAAGGAAATGCTAATGTCCCCCTCCCTTTCCCCCCAAGATGTGTATGTGTATAAGGGGATAAACAAGCACAACTAAGAGAACATGGGAAAGAAGAAACAAACAGGAGTTCGTCAAGATGCCCTGTTTCCACCCCCTTCCCCACCGCATGGGAAACAGTCCTGATGCCCCACAAGTTCCCACGGTGAGGGCAGACCACCCCAAGAACCGCGGGGTGGGGCATGGGGTTGAGAAGGGAGGTTTTGTTCCAGTTTACGCTTCTTTCTGGCAAGTAGCCCGTGGCCTATGGTGGTGGAGATGAGCAGTCCCACCGAGAGCCCATTGCCCTTCCGGAAGGACATGGCTTTCCCTGGCCAACTGGGAGCTTTGCAGTCCCCCAAGCATGATATACTGTAGCCTCCCCGAGAAAGGTGTGTGGTGCCTGTTTGACAGTGTAGAAAAGCTCATTTTCTCATGAAAAGGATCGGTTTCCTTTCATCAAGAGGCTACCTTTACCCGAAGTAGCTCAGCGTCCAGCAATTCAGTGATGCATTGGGTCGAACCATATGAAATTACCATCTCTTGTGTCAGAAGCATTTAAATAGTGGCAATTTCATGTGGTTCAACCTAGTAGATAAACTATTGTTTTTAATTCCAAAATGAAGATTTGGTCTATGCATATACAATAAAGCAGCTCGTCAGGACAGAAAGGAGAAAAAGCATAGATCTGACAGAAGGTCTGGATTTGAGTACTAGTGTCACCATCTTCGTAACTGTGAGTTCCTTAACTTCTCAGGGCCTCAGTTCTCTGATCTGTAATCCCTTCTTCACAAGGTAGTTGTGAGAAAGACGTGCAAACGGTGGGTGTGAAAATGGTTTCCATGTGGCAGATAAACGTACAGCTGGGAGATCCTGTCTGTATGTGTGTTTTTGCATGTGTGTGTGTTTATATATATTTGTATACATGTAATTTTGTATTTTTATAAATTCTGCCTGATATCTGTACAGAGAACGATCAGCAAATGTGTCCTTTTTGTTTCAGATACAAAATAGAAAAATGTTTAACACTTCTATTCTCAGGACTGTCTGTTTAAATGAGAGATTCTGCCTTACATCAAAGTATGTCTTATTTTCCATAAAAACACTGTGAGTTTCAAAAAGCTTGCAGTTTACATCAAGGGATTAAATTCAGAAAATATTTCAATAAAATATCTGGATGGCATAAAAGACCTATATTCAAGACTTCTTATTTTAAACACTAGAAGGATAAAGATACACATAATTAAATAATTTATTAATGGCCTTTTGCTGGGGCCCGTTGGCCGGAGTGCCATTTTTAAATATACAAGATATTTACCTACACTCTGCTCCATATAATAGACGTTCTCCTAAAATGTTTGAGATCTGAATTTTTGCAAATTGAACCATATGGTCAAAGCACAAGGAGAGATTGTTGTCTGAAAGACACAAAAGATCTCTATGTTATAAGGTTCCCTTTATTGAGTAAAAATCCTTTTGTAGGACAAATAATCACTCCCTAACTTATCCATGTTATGCTTTCCCGTTTCCTGTGTTGGATTTTCTTGAAGTCATTTGACAAGAAACTGTTTCCACCGGGAATATGGAAAGCTGTGTTGGAACGGAAGCTCCCTGCCTGCGTTTTAGCCTCTGAGCTCTTAACTGGCTGGGGGAGCAAGACGCCGAGGGGACGGGTTACCGCCTTGTTTGCTGTGGGTGAGTTATCGTCTCACCCTGCGAGGCTCTGGGAGAAAATGAAATTAAAGGGCCTGCAAAAGGTTTGTATTCTCCAGGGGCATGCAGGCTTTTTCAACATTTATAGCAGCAGCAGTGCTGGCTGTGTGTGAGATTTTTTTCTTCTCTCCTGTTGTTTCACTGTACTCATTTTATTGGAGGGAATAATGGGTCGGGAAAATGAGGCAGCTGGTCAGAAGGGGTGACTTTCTAGTTTAACCCCTCAGCTGCTGGGAGATTGGTCATTTACTGACTTTCGCTCAGCTTTGGGGGCAGCTGGGGCAGCCAGCAGGGACAGACAGCACAGACAGCACGTGACCCTCTCTCGGAAGTGTGGATGGACACAGCCTTGGACTGGGAACCCTATCAAGCTCGCCATTAACTCACTGTGACCTTGAACTAGCCCTCTTGGACCCTCAGTTTCTTCTTCCCTAAAGTGCAGGGCAGAGGGTGTGACTGAATCAGCTTGGCAAACTCCTTTGCCTTCAGGGGTCGGGCAAGTATTAAATGAAGCTGGCCTGGGGAGCACTGTGGCAAAATGGGGGCTCACCACGCTGTCCAAGGTCACTGAGATTCAGAAGTTTTAATAAAGGCTGCTGTGCAGGGCAAACTCACTGTCTTTTTCTTGGGTCTAGATACTAATATCAGACATTTATATGATGCTTGCCATGTGCTGGGCAGTGTTCTTAGTGCTTTGTACATATTAATTCATTTCACCTTCACAGCAACCCGCGAGGTAGGTAATTGAGATGGGTGCTATTGTTATCTCAAACTTACAAATGAGGACACTAGAGAAAAAGAAATTCTGAGCCACCCACTGATGGTCTTGCTGGACCAAAAATATGGACAGTGCTTTCTAAGACAGATCCCAGGTAGGGCCCAGAGGGGCCATGGATCTCAGCTGAAGGAGAGAGCAGCCAGTACATTCTAGATTTACTTTGCCTGATGTTATCATTCAGAACACAGTGAAAGAGACACCATCTTCAGGTAAGATATTCAGAGGGTTTTTATGAGGAAAAGAGATCTTAGAAGTGTTCTATATCACTTTTAAGTGTGGTCAAATATACATAACATTTATCATCTTCACCATTTTTAAGTGTACAGTTCAGGAGTGTTAAGTACATTCATATTGCTGTGCAACCATCACCACCATCCACAGAACTCTCTTCATCTTGCAAAACTGAAACTCTATACCCATTAAACAACAACTCTCCATTCCTCCCTCCCTCTAGCTCCCGGCAACCTCAGTTCTACTTTCTGTCTCTATGAATTTGATTACTCTAATCACCTCATATAAATAGAATCATAGAGTATTTGTCCTTTTGTGAGTGGCTTATTTCACTTTGCATAATATCTTCAAGTTTCATTGAAGTTATTCCATGTGTCAGAATTTCCTTCCTTTTGAAGGCTGAATAATATTCCATTGTATGAATATACCACATTTTGTTTCTCCATTCATCTGTGGATGGACACTTGGATTGCTTCTACTTTTTGGCTATTGTGAATAATACTGCTATGAACATAGGTGTCACTTTTAAGGGAGAATTAAGACCCCTAGGTGGACTTGACAGGGAAGCAAAACCTGGCCAGACAATAGTCAGAAGAACTTTTCAGTGATGGGAGCCCAGGAGGTGGTGAGCTCCCTGTCAAGGGCTAGAGGGCCATATTGTCGGCTGCTTGGCAGCAGGTTTCCCTTTGGGAGGAGATGGTCCATCAGGTGACTCTCCAGGACCCTGCCATCTTAGGGTTTCAGCCCTGAGAGGAGCTAAGGGGCCACTCACCATCAGGTAACTGAGCTAGCTCGAAATGGGTTGCCAGATCGGTGGAGGGCACCAACTCCCGTTTTGTTCTCTGTGTCCTGTGGGCAGACACCAGCAGGTGACAACGTTGTCCTGCCATCTGCTTCTTAGCACAGAACATATGAGCAAGTAAAGATTAGACTTTCCCACCTCAAAAGGGGCCGTGTGTCACCCACCTCGCCTTTTGTGAAGAGGGGCTCGCCAGTCAGTGAGGAATAATGGGGGAAAGGGAGGCAACGGGTAAGAAGCCGAATGCTGTGGATTTCTCTCTCATTTTGGCAGCTTCCCTGCATCCTGCTTGCTCAGCTAAAGCTTCCATAGACGTTATTGTACGTGCCAGTGTTCAGGGCCTCTGTAAAGTTTAACGCGTGTCCCCCCAATGTCAAAGGAGTGTGAGACGTGCCCCCCAGCTGGGCCTGAGCCAGGCAGCAGAGGCAGAGTGGGTGGGTGGGAGGGAACAGAAGCCCCTGGCTGTGCCCAGTTGCCTCCTTCCCTAGGGCTGATGTTCTAGGAAGATTCCAGGCTCATTTCTGTGTGTGCACACGTCTGTGTAAACGGAATAGTGCTATGAATGCACTGCAGGAGTGCCCCTCAAAGGAACCCTGTGGCGAAGTCTTTTGTAAAGTGAAAAATCCTTTTGTAAGGTGGATAATTGTACTCTGTTTATCTGCTTTGGAGGTTCAGAGTGTTCAGAGATTCTCAGGGGAAAGAGGGGTTTGTTTGAAGGCCATCTGGCCCACCCCTTTCCAATGCCCGATTCTCTAGAGCATCCTTCCAAGTGATATGAAGCCCCCATTTGAAGCCCTCAATGATGGGAACTCACGATCCTCAAAGATGGATCATTCCTTCTTTGGACAGCTCTGCTTATTAGAAATGGAGACTTATCCTGAGCTTAAAAAAGTCTCTCTCTGAAGTTTTCATCCATTGAGTCTTCCGCTCGCAGGTTACACTGAATGTGCCCTTTCCTTGGGTTGACTCACTTGATACTTGACAACAATGAACTTGACCCCTGAGTCTCCTCTTCTTTCATTCCTCATATGCAGGATTTTGAGTTCTTTTACAATCTTGGTGGTTCTGCTTTGAGTTTGCTTGCTTTGCTGTCCTGTATCCCTTTGCAACCGTGGGACCCAGCAATTAATGCAACTCTCAGGTGTTGTCTGTCTGTGTAGAGGAGACAGGGACTCTCATCTCCCCAGATCTAGATTCTCTTCCTCTGTTGGTGCAGCTCAGGAGCTTTTATGCCAATAAAAAACTTACCATTGCCTAAAATCTCAAAGCTGGGGCCTGCCCGGTGGCATAGCGGTTAAGTGCACACACTCCACTGTGGCGGCCCCGGGGTTCACCGGTTCGGATCCCGGGCGCACACCGACGCACCGCTTGGGAAGCCATGCTGTGGCGGCGTCCCATATAAAGTGGAGGAAGAGGGCCGGCCCCGTGGCTTAGCGGTTGGTTGCATGCGCTCCGCTGCTGGCAGCCCGGGTTCGGATCCCGGGCGCGCACCGCTTCTCCGGCTATGCTGGGGCCGCGTCCCGCATACAGCGACTGGAAGGATGTGCAGCTATGACATACAACTATCTACTGGGGCTTTGGGGGGAAAAAATAAATAAATAAAATCTTTAAAGTGGAGGAAGATGGGCGTGGATGTTAGCCCAGGGCCAGTCTTCCACAGCAAAAAGAGGAGGATTGGCAGATGTTAGCTCAGGGCCAATCTTCCTCACACACACACACAAAAAAAATCTCAAAGCCATGCTGGCGTGATCTGCGACTAGGCCACAACCCCCTCATTCAGGACTTAATGGAGATCATTTTTTTAAATGTCAGGTTGTCTTAAGCGAAATACATCTGCAGAGGAGTGGTCTGATCTGGAACTAATGAAACTCTCTCCTTTTCCCCTAGAACTGGTCAGGCATGAAGTGTCAATTCAAGCTGCTGCGGATGGCTGTGGCCTTGATCTGTAGTAAGTACTAAGGAGGCAGGCTTGGGGAGGGAGCCCTGCATCTGGCCTGGGGGACATAAAGATGGCACAGTCCCTGCCCTCCAGGGTCTTGTGGTCAGGGAAAAAGAGGGAGACGTGTCCACAATGTGCCACAAAGCAGGGGTGTTATGAGAGAAGTCTGGCTTGCTATATGCTGCTTCTTAACCTTTCTCAAACTTTTCATTGACATATAATATGCAGACAGAAAAGTGCATACAGGATAAGTGTCCAGCTCAATGACCAGATCCAGAAAAATGACTCTTTAGTAACCGTTTGAGTCATGGAGTCAATCCTTTGAGGTCTCCTGTAGGAAGCTAGAGACTCTTCCCCAGAAAAATGCACATATGCGCGCACACACACGCACACACGCTAAAACTTGCAGTTTAGCAGGTTCACAAACCATAACTCATCCGTGAACCCCTCTGTGCAGGGTGTGGTGGAGCCCTAGTCGGGAGAAGTCAGTTCTACCTGCAGAGGTCATGTTGAGTGTTAAAGACAGGCAGGTGTTCACCAGGTAGACAAGGTGCAAGAGGGCGTTTCGGGCAGAGGGCAGCAGGAGCAAAGACACGGTGAGGGAAGAGTCGAGGTCGGCAAGTCAGTTAGTTAAACTGACCTGTGGGGTTTGGGACTGCGTGTAATTGTGTTAAGAGATAATAGGAGTCCGATCATGAAGGGCTTTAAATGCAAAGAGAGAAATTGGACTTCATCCTGAATGCACTGGGAGGCCACAGGAGGGCTTTAAACAAGAGTTACTGACAGCTTTGGGCTTTAGGAGACAAGTCAGGCTGCAGTGTGGAGAAGGAGTTGAGTGTAGGGGGATGAGACCAGAGGCCAAGAGGCTCATTCCAAGATGGAGAGAGAGGTCTGAACAGAAGTGAGGGAGGCAGGAAGAGAGGAGAGGGAGCACAGTCTCTCCTTCAGCCCTCACAACAGGGCTATGAAGAGGGAACTGGTATTAGGCTTAATTCCCAGGTAGATGCTTGAGGCTCAGAGAGTTAAGTTCCTTGCCCAGGGTCACCCAGCTAGAGGTGATAGAGCCAGAATTCAGAGCCAGCCTGTGCCATTTCTAATGCCCCACACTTTAGCCAAGCTGGACAGGGGCACTTTGACTGTCTCTGCCTGGGCCAGACTCCTACTACGTGGGGAAGAGGAAGACTGGGCCAGAACAAATAGGGGTGGAGGAGGGGCCTCTGGGCTCCATGTGAATCCACTTCCACATCCCTTGCCTTGTACTCTATGGCTTTCAGGGCTCTCTGGTCTCAGTTTCCTGGATGGGGTCGGAGGATCTCTAATTCCAGAGAGGACCTTCCAGTCCTAAAACCCACAGACTCTTTGAGCCAGGGCAGTGGGGGTTAATGGGGGACAGTGGGTGGGGGCAGAGATGAGCATAGCTTTCCTGTCTGCTCAGACTCTGAGTTTCTGTTTGCAAGGAAGGGAAGAGAAGCATGAGTCTTGCTGTTTAAAAAAATCCAACTCTGAGCATCATAAAAACTAAAATGCTGTTTTGGGGGATCAATGTCTTTCAAACCTCTCTTGTGGACCCCAGGGCCTGAGGGGTGGGGTGGGTGGGGGAGGATACAGCGTCTGTCCCTGGCTGCTTCTTTTCCGCCATCTATCGGCCATCCTTGGAGTTGCAGGGCCCAGGCCAGAAGGTTAGGCAGTGCCCCCGGGGACTGGACGTCCCTGGAGTTGCTGGCACCCCTGGAGTGGTTACGGTGGAGAGAGGCGCACTGGTTAATTAAATGGTAACTGAACAAGTACAAAATTCCCTTCAAAGGGCTTTCTTGCAATCTGTGAAATTTGCCTTGGTTTCCTCATCTGTAAAACGGAGACGGGAATACCTGCCCTCGCTGGTCTTCTGGTGCTGGGTAATGAAATGGCACAGTTCCCAACACCTGTCCTCTCAGGAGAGTATGTCCCCATTGGATTGGCTGACCCAAGAAGTTCATGCAAAAAGGATGGACTGGGGAGTGGAATGGGACATTTTAGAATCTGTTAGGAGATAAATTCCAGCACTGTTGGGATTATTTACTTCCATTCCTTCTTTGCCGTTCTCTCCCTCCATCCCTTCCTTCCAACCACAAAAACAGTGATTCTGAGAGTTTTCTATGGGTTTTGAAAGAATACATGAAAACGCTTTATAAACTGTAAAGGGCTAGCACATATTGAAGTTGTTGTTAATGTTCCAGCAGTGCAGCCTGGTACATAGAGACCGAGACTTTATACAAATGGGGAAGCTGAGTCTGTAAGACTCATGACCACAGGAGTGCAAGGGCCTTTGGGCTTCTGCACCAACTGTTCCCTCTTCCTGCAATACTCTTCTTAGGGTCTTCTCTTGATAGTCACATCTCTGCTCAAATGTCACCTCTTTAGGGAGATTTTGTCTGCTTCCCCAAACTAAAGAATCCCCTTCTTTATGCCCAACATTGATTTTAAACCACCTGTATTTTTTCCCATGGAATTTCTCTTACTGAAATTATCTTATGTATGTAATTGTATGCTGGTTGTTGCCAGATCCTGTAAGCTCTGGGAGAACAGAGGCTTGTCTGTCTTCTTCACTACTATACCTCCAGTGCATAGAACAAACAGTGCTTGGCCTAATGGGTAGTGAATGAATTAAAGGGTGGATGGCTGAGTGGGTGGCTGGGTGGATGGATGGATGGAGTGCAAGACCTCTCCCTTGGTCCCTCCCCAGTGGCCCTCCTGTGACTTCTCTGTGCTTCTTCCCTTGCAGTGAGCATGGAGTTTGGGCGGGCCGTGTGGCTCCGGTTCCACCCGTCAGCCTATCCCCCGTGCCCTCACCCGAGCTTCGTGGCGCACTTGGGTGGTGTGGCTGTGGGCATCACCCTGGGCGTGGTGGTCCTGAGGAACTATGAGCAGAGGCTGCAGGACCAGTCGCTGTGGTGGATTTTTGTGGCCATGTACACCATCTTTGTGCTGTTCGCTATCTTCTGGAACATCTTTGCCTACACCCTGCTGGACCTAAAGTTGCCACCGCCCCCGTAAGGAACTGGAGGACCGAGGTCAGGGAGGGGAGTGAGAAGCAGCATCAGAAAGGAGCACCTGCGTTCTTTTTCTCATCACCAGCTCAGTGAGGCCGTAGAGAAGAGGACAAGAGACACTGAGCCTCTGTAATATTTGGGCTCGGATTTGGGCAGACAGTGGAGGCTCTTTTTTGAAGGGCACATGCTGGAGGAGTTGGATGTGGCTACCTTTGTTCTTCTAGACTGTTCTGAGGACATCAGGCCAGGGTGAAGGCTGGGGTAGGGTGAGAGTGGCCGTTTTCTTGGGCTGGGCTTGTTCCATGTGTTCAGGGGTCCCCTCCCTTGTCACAGATTGGGCAGCAGCCTTCTCCCTCATCCTCCACCCTGAGAGACCCTGAGAGTGTAAGGAAGGCCCAAGCGTGTAGTAGCCAGGCGGGCCCTTGTCCAGCTCAGAGATAATTGCAGGCCAGGAAATGTTCCCTCTACAGCCATTGGGTCTGGAGCTCTGGAGTGGAAGAGAGTCTGGTAGTGGACATATCGACATTGGCCTGGGGGAGCCCAGGGTGCTCTCCTGTGCCTGTCGGTGGGCACTGGGGCGTGGCCTCTAGTGCCTGGGATGGGCGGAGGAGGGAGATGCTGTAACTCCAGGCCCCACCCTTGCCCTGGGGGTACCCAGTGAGAGGAACCCAAGCAGAAGGGAATAAACTTAATCCCAAATTCCGCCCTGGGGAAGACTTCTCCCTCCCTTTCTCCCAGAATGCTGATGTCTCATACCAGTGCCCCAGCATCCCATGCCCTGCCTTATTTTTAGGGTCTTTTCCTTCTCTTCCATTGCCCTGACCTGCATCATGCCTCGCCTTTGGTTATGGAGACAGTGTTTTGATGTGTGTGTATGTGTCTGTGTGTGTAGTTTGGTGGGTGGAGGTGCCCATGTGATGGGAAAGACTGTGAGGAGAGTTGGAGACTGCAGAGCAATCCTGGGAGAGGCAGTGAGGGTCTGTGGAGGAGTCTAGTGAGAGGAAGGAAGGTGCTGAGAGGTGGGAGGGTGTGGTTGCTGAGGATCCTTGCCTTTAGTAAAGCTTGCGCCTTCTTTCCCATCCCTGTCCCTTCCAGGCGCACCCCTGAGAATCACTGACCAGTGGGAGAACCATCCGTGGTGGAGGGAGACCTCAGCCCTTCCAGGGACCCTCAGGATGCTGAGGTTTTCCTTGCCTTTGCCAAGTGCTGCCCTTGTTTCCCTCTGGAATGGCCTTCATATCTGAAAAGGTTCTGTTCTGTCTCCCTTAAGAGGGAAGGAGCTTTGGGGTGCAAGAGAGTCTGGAGCAGAAATATTGAGGCTCTGTGTCCATTTGAGTTGGTAGAGAGGAGGCTGCACTAAGAGGAATTCCAATGTAGGCAGAAAACTGCTTCTAGAGAAGATTTGTTGGGTGTTTGGATGAGTGTCAGAGGTGAGGACAGCCCGTAGATTCAGATGCTCAGAGGTCAGAGGGGACTTGGAGATTATCAAGTCCATCCCTACCCCCAAGTCACTAGTGGGAAAATGACCCCCTAGCGAGAGCTGGTGCGGGCCCCGAGGGGAGACTGGGGGGAGGGATGACCTTTGACAAAATGTGTCATTCCCTTTATACTGCTTTTGGAACTCCCATCCACTGACAGCCCGGAAGGATGAAGAACCAAGTCTGGGAGGCAGAGGGGCTGCGTTCATGAGGAATGAGGGCAGGAGTGTGGGAACTGCCTTCTGCCAGCCACGTGCTCCTCAGAGCCCTCATGTGCACTGAGGTCCTGAGTCAGCCAGGCAGGCGTTTGGGGGTCTTGGGCCACTGTGGCTTCCTGTCCCCACTGATCACATTAAATGGGCAGAGTTTCCTACTCAGGGGCACCCCCACTCAGCCCCAGGCTATGCCAAGCCCTTCCCTGTCTTTGCCCAGTGCTAAATAGATTGTCCTGGTCCCCACATATGGCCCCTAAAATGCTGCACTGTGCCAACGCTGTGCTGAGGACTGCCAGCCTGAGGTGGCATGGGCCCTGACCTTTGGCTGAGTTTTGTCGGTCTGAGGCATCTTGTCTGTGCCCTGCCAGCCATTCTCTGCCCTACTGAGAGGAGAGTGTAGCTGGAACAGTCAGCTTCTTAGGAGAGGAGACTCTGAGCTGGAATGGGGGCCAAGAAGACTTGGGTAAGGATGGCAAAGGGGGCCTCAGCCATGGGCTTCAGCCACTGCTAACCCTGAGTGGTGCTGTCCCTCCCTGGAGGAGCAGAGGCACCTGGTGCCCTGCTGGAGGCAGGGCCTCCCTTCCAGATCCTGTCCTGGCACCTGGGGGTTCTGGGTTGTGGGTGGAGGGAGCAGGGAGCCACCTCTGCGTTTGTCTGGTGTGGCCTGGAGATGGACCTTCTTCTCTCCAGGGTGAGAAGACTGTGAAGTAGAAGACTCTAGAAAGCCCTCAGAGAAGCACTTAATTCCCTCAGGACTTCAGATGGAAGCTTGTTACCGAGGACTGCCTGAGATGGAAGTCCCATCTCCCATCCTGTTAAGTCTGTCCTCTGAGGTCTGGGACATGCTACGGGAGCCTGTCTACACCTCAGGCCACCAGCCCCAGCTTCTCCCTGTCCAAAAGCAACCCACAAGTTCTTTGTTCTGCTTAATGCCCATCTCCACCACCCTCCCCCAACCATCACTTCTAAGCAGGGCCATGCAGTGGTGACAATAGTCACTTCACACAACCCAGGTCTCTAATCCAGGGCTGGAGACAGCTGTCTGGTAAGAAGGGTTTACATTTTGGTGTCTGGCTTTCTCCTCAGCAGGTCCCTTTGTCCCGTGTTCCCAGCAGCATGTCCCCATCATACTTCCCTCCTCGTCCAATATGGCCGCCCTAGCCAGTGTGCTGGGAAGCAGAGGGTGGTGTGAATCTTCAGGCTGTGGGGGGGAGGTCTGCCTTTCATCCACAGGCTGTAGAAACTGAAAGCTGGGGATTCCCCAAACAGCAGCTATAGATTCCCTCGATGGTTAAACGGAAGAGGAATCACAGAAACTGGGGAAAGGAAAACAAACCTTCAAAGGAGAAATTTCGCTTTAATGACACCATTAATCATTCGTTTTTTAATTAGGAAAAGCTCCCTAATGGGGCACTTTTGCCAGCTAATAGGACTCTCAATTTCCATGAGAACCATTCTTGCCCAGAGGATTAGGGGAGTCATTGCTCACCAAGCTCGGATCTTCCCCTAGTGTCCAATTTCGTTTGCAGATAATGCAGATTCCCGGGTGCAGTGGGAGCCCTTTCCTGGCATCATTCCTGTTGCTCCCAGCGCTGGCTGGAAAGCACCAATACTCCTCTGCCTTAAAAAACAGTGCCCAACACTGAACTTCCCCTCCCCCAAGGACTTGAGTAAGTGGAAAACAAAACAAAACACAAGCTGCAATGTTTGTTTCTAAATATTTTTGTATTGTGTACATTCTGTATATTTTTGTTGTAACATATTATTTGAGCACAGATTCCATTAAAGATTTTTTTTTTTAAGCCATCGGTTATTCAGAAAGTGACTTAAAGGGCTGGCGTTGGAACCTGTTTCCTCTTGGTCTGGGTCAGGGCGGCGGGAACGGGTGGATAGCAGTGGTGCTGGGTCTACGATTTATGCAATAAGGATCCGGGCATCGGTGCTTCGCGCTGGTGTTTCTTGCTTGGTGGTTCTTAACTTTTCTTGAATTACTGAACTCTTTTGAGTTGCTGATGAAAGCTATGATTTCTCTTCCCATAAAAATGCACAGACAATTTTGTGTACAGTTTCTGGGGGTGGGGGGCGGGGCTATGAATAAGGAAACTGATCCATGGCTTCAGGTCAAGAACCTCTGTGCAGGGGCTGGCCTGGTGGCATAGTGGTTAAGTTCACTTGCTCTGCTTCAGTGGCCCAGGGTTCGCAGGTTCAAATCCCGGGGTGTGGTCCCAGGCACTGCTCATCAAGCCATGCTGTGGGGGCGTCCCATATACAAAATGGAGGAAGATTGGCACAGATGTTAGCTCAGGACCAATCTTCCTCAGCAAAAAGAGGAAGATTGGCAACAGATGTTAGCTCAAGGCCAGCCTTCCTCACCAAAAAAAAAAAAGAACCTCTGTGCCAGCTGTTCTGGTGGGTGCCCCCCCTTCCCCTTCCACTCTTACACTATACCCTGGTGAGAAATTAACATTTTGACTATTATTATTGGAGGAATCTCCTTTGAAATGTCCTAGGTACACCCTTCTTTACCCCACTAGCCTAGTCTTTAGGTCTTTCTAGGGGCTGTGAACACCCTGATCTTGAGGAAGGGGTAGGAATGTTCTCAGAGTGAAAGGGCATGGTCGGTTCACATACAGAAGGGGGAAAATAAGAGGACCATAAATGTTCAAGTCTGCTGCTTGGTCAGTTGAACAATCAAGTGGGTTTGCGTGGATAAAGCCTGAGAAAGTGAATTGTTTTCACCAGTTTTTCTCAGCCAATAGCATGGTATGTAGTTTTGCCATTCCTAGCTGTTGAGGATTAAGCTACCCTGTTAAATTCAGCGTGGGAGATGTTTCCCGTAATGATCTTTCATTTTTTGTTTTTTTTAATAATTTTATTTATTTATTTATTTTTCCCCCCAAAGCCCCAGTAGATAGTTGTATGTCATAGTTGCACATCCTTCTAGTTGCTGTATGTGGGACGCGGCCTCAGCATGGCCGGAGAAGCGGTGCATCGGTGCGCGCCTGGGATCTGAACCCGGGACGCCGACAGTGGAGCGCGCGCACTTAACCGCTAAGCCATGGGGCCGGCCCCTCCTGTAATGTTCTTTCACATCAGTTTCCTGTGTATTATTTTAAAATATTTCTAAACGCTGTGGAAGTCATCCCAGAACACACTTTACAGTTCAGGCTAAAGGTCAAAGAACTCACTTCTGTTTGTTTGTAGTGTGGAGAACGGACTTCCCTAGAAGGAAAGTCGGGGAGTCTGAGCACCGGTGTTCCGGGGGGTCAGTTCCAGGCTCTGACACCTGAGGCGTTTAAAGGCAAGCTCCCTGGACAGCCGAAAGCAGTGTAGTTAGCTTTCCTTTGGCCTCCTATCGCTTCCCTCTTCACTGTTCTGGTTCCTCCCTCTACCAGATTCTCAGTCTTCTGCTAACTTAATGTTTACCAATGATAAGATAATTATGAAGATAATTTACTGCGTACCTACTATGTGCTAGGCACTGGATGAGGCATTTTCAATATATTATTCTCATTTAATTGCACAGCCACTTGCTGTGAAGTGGGCGTAAATATTCCCATATTTACACGAGGGGAAGGCTTAGAGAGGTTTAGTAACTTGCTGGTAGTATATGGCATAGCTGGATTCATACCCAAGACTGCCTGGTTCCGAAGTTCATGCTGTCAGCCCTCCGGTGTTTGTATGGGACTTCAAGGACACCCAATTTATAGAGGTGTCAGGGCGTTTGTTGAAAGATACAGCCTCACTGCATTAGGCCTAGGGCCAGCCTGTCACGGTAATGAACCTTGGAACATTCGCTCGGTGTTCACTTAACAGGATGTCCACTTTGTTAGCCCTCCTACAAGTAGTTTATAAGAAGATCCACAGGGCCGGCCCGGTGGCTTAGTGGTTAAGTGCGTGCGCTCCGCTGCTGGCGGCCCGGGTTCGGATCCTGGGTGTGCAGCGACGCACCACTTCTCTGGCCATGCTGAGGCTGCGTCCCACATACAGCAACTAGAAGGATGTGCAGCTATGACATGCAACTATCTACTGGGGCTTTGGGGGGAAAAAATAAATAAATAAAATCTTCAAAAAAAAAAAAAAAAAAGAAGATCCACAGCTATCCATTTCATTACTGCTCCCTATCACCCCTGAGTTCCCGAATCTAGCATTTCTGCCGACTCAGAGAATTTAAAGTCTGTGAGGCACATTAGGAAGTTTGGCAGTTATAGAACCGGAGCTGCCCTCTTAGACCTCCAAGTGGAAAGACTTCATAGAAGCCAGCAGGGTTTCCATTACTAAGAAGACACATGGTTAAGAAACTGTGGTCCTAGCAACTAAATCTTATTTTCAAGAAGCCTGCAGGCTTTCCTGGCATCTGGTATAAGTGGTCCTCTGGTAAAGGACAGGCATTCTGTCATGGTTAATAATGAATGAGAATGAAAGGAAGTGACTTGGGTTATTGAGTTCCACAGGCGTAACTTTACTGGACAATGAGTAAAACATTGTGATGGAAATTGCCCTTACACCCTGCCTGATGCCTCCTGCAAGATGCAGGAAGGTGTATCCCAGCAGGTGATTTGATTTTCTTCAACAAATTCCTTAGCACAACAAGTATAATTTCCTCATAAACTTATTGCAAATTAATAAAAATGTCAGGCTTGGGAATTGAGCTCATTAAACAAAAACGACTGCACTGGTGAGAAGCAAAGTTGTTTTATTATTATTATTACAAATATAATTACAGATACACTGAGACCATTTTTGATACATGACAAACATACATTTCCTCTGTGCATATAGCACACAAATAATACATAAATGTATTCCACACGTGAATAAATCCTTTTTAAAACTTTAAAAGTTAATACATTAGCTTATTAAAATTTGAATACAGTACATGTTTCTGGTCATGAGCTCTTTGAGTTTCTTCTCATGGCCAACAAGATATTCAATTCCATGTCACCACTTTCCTTGTCTACAATAGTGATACACAGTTTGTCACAGACTTTTAAAATAAGACTGTATTGGATATAGCCGTGTAATGTAGTGAGCCTACATTACAAAAAATATATATAAAAGAACATATAAAGAATATATAATTATACCTTGACTATATCCATAAATGACTTGAAGCAGGTAATACATTTGCTTTTAAATGCCATTTACAAAATGGACTCTTGAATGACATGTGAATTTGAAAATGAAAAATATGTTTTCCATACTCAAAATGTTGATGTCCTAATGTTGTTTATTAAAAACACTGATTTCCAAGTGGGCAACCAAGTACATTAGATAAAGTCGGATTAAAGGGTAGTGCCATAAAATTGCTTATTTCCCATATCATTCTGAATTTAATGCTATAAAAAAAAATGCAACTTGGATTTTCTTCTACACTGCCTACACTCCAAGTTATTAAAGTTTAAAACCATATGAAGCCTTTATGAAGATCCTGAATTGTATTTCTCATTAAAGGAAAAAAATGGCTTGGTGAGTCATGTCCCTAGACTTTTGTAGAAGAGAAAGCAGAAGGCCATTGTCAGTCATTTTGAAAGTTAAAACTCAGCACTTAATGTGAATTTAGATGAGTCTAGGAGAGGATTTTTACGGGCTTGTGTTCCTCTGAGCATCGTGAGGACAGTGAGAACACAAGACTTCTGATCTTCTAAACAAAAATCATTATCAAATGGCTTTATTAAAGAGCTATGCAGAATAAACTGCAATCGTGTGTGTGGCTACAATTGACTTCCATGGGAATTACAAATTGCTCTAGCTGAGGGCACTTTCAATTGATTCAGAGTAAAACAATATGAGGCTTGTAACACATGTACAAAAAACTAAAATCAATGAGTAACTCTAATATGAAGAATCTCCGTTTGCATTCTTTATCTTACAGTTTGCTTGTAAAATTTATGTACTTTGTTTTTTTTTTAACTCTGTTTAAAAACTCCAGCATTTTTATATAAAAGAAAACACAGGCTCTTAGCAAACACCTGTGAACAAATTAATGAAGAAAAGTGATGGGGGCTACTTCTGCAGTAGCTTTCCATCAGAGATAATGTTTTATCTTTAAGCCAGTGCATCTATTTTTAAAGCTCATTTAATTTCTTACACACTCATGATTTATTTGCATATTGACTTAAAAGCTGGCTTCATCATCCCTGCCATTATCAATCAGACAAAAAAATCTATCAAGCACCCACAGGATGCACAGATCTGTCTTTGAAATGATGTCGTGGTGCTAATCTATCCTAAGACTAGGAATACATTTTTTTAAAGAAGCTATAATACATTGAGAAAGAAGTATTATGATTTTTCTGGGAGGAAAAGTTGCTAAATACTGCAGTAAACTCCTAAGAGAAGCCACAAATTATCTCTGAAGTTTTTTAAGCAACAACTCCGTGAAGTTTAGAATTTATGGGACCAGCAATGTACTAAAATCCCACAACACTCACACACATCTATCTAGGACTCAGTGAAGACATTCTTCAGATTTATATGTCTAATTAAGTTAAATTTTAAAAGTACAAAATGAAAAAATCTAGAATGGGTTTCAAATCATCTTAAATAGCAATCCTATGACAATGATAACAACTGCGATTTCAAACACCAAGGTTTGGATGTACAGCGTCGCAAGAGATGTAATTATCTCAAAACATGTGATCAAAAACTTTGGGCAAGAGTTTCTTTCATAAATTCTTCGAGGACGGCTACCACATTTTTGGCTTCGGGCATTTCTTCGTGTTCCACTTTAACAATCTTCAAAAGGATGTCTCCACTACCACAGTTCTTTAGGAACAGGTAACATTTAAACAAAGCATAATGATTCATTTCTGCCTGTCGGATAAATCTCTTCAAATTATTTGTGTCTTGTATAGCCTAGAAAAAGATTACCCAGTGAAATATGCATTTAGTGAGATAATAATGAAGCCTGAAAAATATCTCCTGTCCAACTGAGAACTCAGCATGTGTTGTTGAAATGTTTGCTTTTTATTTTAAATATTTCCATCATTTTTATTGTTAATATGCTTTGCCTTTGGTAGAACAAAATCTCTTATATAAAGTAAAAATACTTTAAAAATCTCCTAGGGCCGGCCCCATGGCTTAGCGGTTAAGTGCGCGCGCTCTGCTGCTGGTGGCCCGGGTTCGGATCCCGGGCGTGCACCGACGCACCGCTTCTCTGGCCATGCTGAGGCTGAGTCCCACATACAGCAACTAGGATGTGCAACTATGACATACAACTATCTACTGGGGCTTTGGGGGAAAAATAAATAAATAAATAATTATTAAAAATCTCCTAAACAAGGTGACAACACTCCTCCCCACCAGAATTTTGAACCCTTAGGCACTGAACTACTTTTTTTGTGCTTTCCAACTAAAATATGTCACAAATTATAAGATTGAGGTCCCTGAGATAAAAGCAAGCATTCAACCCAATTAATTGGAAATGCAATGATATGTACGCAGAAGCCACTGAAAAAGATAAATAAAGTAAATGCCTTCTGAGGATTCTAGTTTTGAAAATGTCCTATTTAACAGACATCACAGCTGCAAAGCAAATTTGTTACTCTGTCACTGGTACTAATTAAAATTCAGATAAAAATTATCTGTGGCACACAGCCAATTAATTACCTTCAGTTTAAAGTTCTCCAATACTTGTCGGAAAAGAAAAGGGTTACCTCCTTCAGCACCATTCAGAAAAGCCTGCATCCAATCCTCACAAAACCGGTTGCTTCCTGTAAAATATTTTTGAAAAATTAAATAAATAAAAATGAAATCCTACAAGCACAAGACATTTATTTATTTTCATTTTTTAAAATTGAGGTATAATTGACATATAACATTAGTTTCAGGTGTACAACATGATTTGATATTTGTATACACTGTGATATTTTTTATTTCTTTATGAAAACACTTATAATGAATTATTTAAGACTTCTATAACACTCTAAAAAAATAGCATACTCACCACCTCACTAAGAAATACCAAAATGGTTGAAGCCCCCATGTGCCTCTTCTCAATTGCATCCCTCTCCTTTCCCATCAGAAAGGATTATCATTCCCATGTATTTCTTTAAACTTTTGCCACATACTTTTTTATCTCTAAGCACTATATAGTATTATTCTGCATATGTTAAACTCTATGTATTTTTCTTTAATGGCTGTTTCACTAAATAGTATGTTTGTGAGCTATACTGAGACATGTAGCTCTAGCTCATTTATTTTCACTGCTATATAATATTCCATTGTATGACTACAGTAGTTTATCACTTTTCCTGTTGATAGACATTTATGTTGCTTCCAATTCTTTGCTATTTCAAACAATGCCTTTATGAACATTTTTGTATTTGTCTCCTTATATACATATACAAGAGCTTCTCTGTATACCTAGGAGTAGAATTGCAAGGCATGACATGATTTCCATGTTTAGAATTGCTATTGTTTTTGCTGAGTTTAGGATAAATATGTAAAACTGCACAAGGCAGGAAGGATAAGTTTGTATCATTTGTTCTCAGTGCAAAAATGGAGACTCACAAGAGCCCCAGGAAGGCTGCTCCAGAGGTCGTGGCTCACCTGCATTGTAGAACTGAGGCTGGGAGCTACTGCAGTCGATGATCACAGACTTGTGCTGCTCCTCCGTCATGGCCATGCACAAAGATGTCATGGTGCCTTCGTGAATAAGGCCTTGAAGACTGGCTACACTCAGAAACCTGCCACATACACAAGTCCTTTTCTACAAACAACATTGCAGGATGGGAAGGAGAAAGCAAATTCATTCTACACTAGGAGAGTTTTAAAAACGTAAATATCAGACTTGCTGTGGAAAAGCTTCTCTCTCTGCAAAACTGTTCTTTACCTGTTAATGTCTCTCTTTGTTTTTTCATCTGATTCTTTAACCTCAACAGGAGTATAACTCAGAGCCTAAGAAAGAAAAATAAAGCCTAATTGATACATGTATTCCAGTTTTCCTTATTGAGCAGCTACTCGTGACTAGACGTCACCTTCCCCCAGTAACCCCCACACCAGACGATGCTTGATGGGCACTGCCCAGGAGCTCACCAGAGCCTTGTTCAGCTGCTGCTCACTAACAGCCTGAAACTTGGCTGTACCACCGAGTCTCATGGGACCATCCAGTCTCAGCTGCATCTACCCACCACATATTTAAATGAAAAATCTAGCCATTTACTCAAGTTTTCCCCATTGTCTGGATATTTGAATGAATTTTTCATTTTTTATCTGGACATTTTTATATAGTTAAAATCACTTTGGATTTTGGTTTTCCTTCTCAAATTGTTTTGGAAATTATACTTCTCCCAGATCACTTCAAAAAGTAATTATATAAAAATGTTTTATATGGGCCGTCCCTGTGGCTTGGTGGTTAAGTGCGTGCGCTGCGATGCTGGCGGCCTGGGTTCGGATCCCGGGTGCGCATCGAGGCACCACTTCTCTGTCCATCCTGAGGCCGAGTCCCACATACAGCAACTAGAAGGGTGTGCAGCTATGACATACAACTATCTACTGGGGCTTTGGGGGCAAAAAATAAAATAAATAAAATCTTTAAAAAAAAAAAAAAATAAATAAATAAATAAATAAAAATGTTTTATCCCATTAGGAAGACTCAGCCAGGATTTGCAATTCTACCTTAGTAACGTAACTTTCTAGATCTGAGTAAACAGACTGTGGTCTATGCTGATTGCAAGCATAGTTTGCATGAAAATTCATCGGGGAAAAAGTAACGTTCAGAGAAAATGAGTATGTCTTTAAATAATCCAAACTCTGCCAAAGTGATTCTCTATTAAGGAAATGCTTTTGTTTGGGCAATACTTACGGCGTGTAGCAGAAAGGTAAGCTTCTCCTGAAAGAGAAGAACAACCCTTTGGATTGGGCACACAACATCCTCAAACCAGCTGTTCAGGTAGGACTTTATGTGGTTCTCCAAGCCCCTTTCCTAGATCAAGACAGAATGTCATTTGCTTTAACATAAGCCTTCACCTTAGTGGACTTAACATTTTCTTCACAATACTGTTAACAGTGAAAGAACTGGGAACAGATACCTTTTTTAAGCTACCACCACCAACTCAGAAAAAGGAATTGTGATATAACTTTCCTGGGCTTGTTAGGCAGAGTGGGGATTGATTCTATACTGAATTTCTTAAAAACACACTAAGAAATGCATTATATGATATGAAGAGATTGAATTAATAGGGTTCCATGCTATTTCTACACTGGGAGGAGTTGGGCATTTACATGTCCATCTCCCCCCACTATACTGTGTACTCACTGGAGATACTCTCTTAATAATCCTCGTCTCCCAGCACCTGGTACAGTGTCTGAAACATCCATGTATGAGCTTATTAGGTGCCTGTTGAATGACTGAAGGAATGTAGACAGACAGTTCACTCACACTCAAAATACGAATAGAGAAGGATACAAGTTAACCCATCAAAGCACTCAAGCCCACTCCAGTTGTCAGACATGCTGCCATGAGCACATCTGGCTTTCTAGGCTGTGCTGCTCTCTGGGGACTAGTGGAATAGTTCTAGTCTGGGAGAGCAGCTCGCCCTAGACTTGTATCCCTGGTTTACTCCTGTGCTATCCTTTCCTCTCTCGCAGTGTCCTGTAAGCGCATGACAAGTAAAAGGAATTATTACCTCATGTAATGGGTAGTAACTTTATAAAAGTTATGACTTTAACCACTGCCGCAAGGTGAATGCATAGTTTTTAAAGGGTTTGGATAAATTAATCCATATGGATGTATCTAATTAATAAAAGATAGATTAATGAGAAGTGGAATATTTCTAAAAATCTTTGATGTTGAGTTCAAGGACAGTCATACCATTGCATAGCATGTCTCTGGTGCCAGAAGCTTCATGGACCATTAGTTCTGACCAGATTATAAATCTTATGTGCCTAGAAATCAAGGAAAGAGCCGCCCCTTCCTCACTTAGCATGTTACCATACAGCAGTGAATTTAATGGACTGAATTTTTCATGGGTGCAAAACATCAGAAGCAGTCTTGTGAAACTTACAGCACTTTTAGGACTATGTTCCCTGCTTCCCTTCACAATCACCTTTCTACGAGCCCACAAAGTAGCATATTTTTAGAAGTCAGGTGTCTTTGTGTCCACCTATATGATTTGACAAGTATAGCAGTTAAAGTATGTTAAGCATCTCAGTCTTAAAAAACTATTAACTTGGGGCTGGCCTGGTTGCATAGTGGTTAAGTATGCGCACTCCACTTCAGCGGCTTGGGGTTCGCAGGTTCAGATCCCAGGCGCAGACCTATGCACTGCTCATCAAGCCATGCTGAGGCAGCATCTCATATACAAAGTAGAGGAAGATTGGTACAGATGTTAGCTCAGCGACAATCTCCCTCAAGCAAAAAGAGGAGGATTGGCAACAGATGTTAGCTCAGGACCAATCTTCCTCACACACACAAAAAACTATTAACTCAATCATCTTACCTCACAGTTCATGTTATTTTTCAGCCCTTGAATGTACTTGTCCAATTCAAGCCTGAAAGTATGTTCTTAAGGAAGCAATAAAGGATGAATCAAGACAGCATCATTTTATCTCTCAATAGGAAATACAAAATCTCTCAAATAATGCAAACTGTAAATTAAAACAACTCAAGACAAACTGGCTGTATGAAGGTATGAAATTCAAGTAAATACATAAGAGGTCAAAAAGCTTTCTGGAGGTTAGTAGTAATACCCCTCCACTCGTCTTCCCACATTTTCCTTCCTAATCTCCTCAAAGACCAAAGAAAGGATATAGCTCAAGTCCTTTCTCAGACCCTCCTAAAAAACAGACCACAAACTCTGAAGGGTTATGTCCAGAGTCCATTGTTGCTGTTTCAGGAAGCAGTTTTTCATGTTGGAAAAGGCAGTAATAACAACCGACACGGTAACCTGGAATTCTGGAAAAGAAAGAAAAAGGTAAAATGTATTATTTTGATAACTCATGCATCCAATTTTGTGGACTGCTTGGAACCCCTGTCATCTCGATCTGGCAATACTGATAGATTGCTAATGCTGTTATATTGCCCAGACTTCTCCTTGGTTTACTTGTAACAGCAGAGGAAAATGAGTGTACATCATGATGGGCTTTAGCTAAAGAAGCACCTAACAAACATGGAATTTCTTTGAATTCTCCTATCTGATGTGAAAATTCATGCACATGTCACTCTCTTTCATAGTATATCCATATTTACCTAACTATAAGCAAGTTCTCTCCCTTCCCCAAACCTTCACAAATCATTGAAGCTCCAGGCAGATACGACATGTTTATCCTGTGGCCTTATCTTTGGGCTGTGGCCTCATACTCTTGAGGGGACTTGATGCCAACATCATGTTCTGAAGTGAACTACAGCCAGGGGTGTAATGGAAAGACAGCTGGAATTCAACTGGGGACGTCTATGTTTAAGTCTGAACTTTATCGATGTGAGCAGCCTTCGGAACTTAACTTCTCTGAGTTTATTTCCTCATCTGCAAATGAAAGGAAGAGTATCTGCTCTATTGCCCCTTTGTAGGGAGAATGGCATCAAAGTTTGCGAAAGCACTTTACAAACTGCAAAGTATACAATTTTAGTTTTGGTAATTAACTCTTTTTTTCCAAGCACAATACTAAGTAAGTACACTTAGGAAGCTCTGCCATTCAATTAATTTCAGTCCACAAATGTTTATGTGTGAGGCCCAGCGCTCAGGCTGCCAGAGAACAAAGATGAACTCCACAGGTCTAGTAGGAGGCTGATCTTTTGGAGTTTCTCATCACTTCTCATATTTAGTTCAGAAATAAAAACCCAAGACACAGCACATTTTACACTTACCTCAGCTCCACAGATGCAACATTCCCCAGCCCTTCAAAGACCGCTCCCTTCGAGAGACGCTTAGCAATGAAACTGCGCAGCTCCGGCTCCACTTCAGATGGAAGATTAGTATCCGCCAAGGAGAGGCTTGACAATGAAAGACACACATTCCTTACCGGTGGACCACAGCATTCACATCCCATAAGTCAGACAGGATATCACTAAACCCCAGAGACTCTTGAAGGACTTGCAAAAGCTTTCTATCTGACTCCCATTGGTGAGGCTTCTAGGAATGTATGTCACCAAGCAAGATCTACCTCATCAAACAATTTAAAACAGTCCTGTCTTTCCAGCTCATTCTCTCTAGGATTATGACTCCCCCGGGACTCCCAACCCACTGACTTTACCTCTTTTTCAAAGTCCCTCAAGTTTCTCGTCTCCTCACTTCCCTCCTCCTCACCCCGCTGAAATTCCACAGTCAGTCATTATAATCACACCATTGCACGTATTCTCACTCAAGCCCTCTGTTGTTTTCACCTCACGGTACTTGCTTAGCAAAACTTCATCTCTGGTTAGTCCCGCTTTCTACCTACTCTGCAGCTGCACCTGTGCAGCTGAATGTGGTTGGACAAAAACCCACAACCACAGTGTCTAGTCTCATTTCAAATGAATGGTCACTAGCTTTGAGTGGGCCCTTACTGCCGCCCAGCTATCTCTACATTCCCTGGTTCACTCACTCTTCTCTCCTAGACCACTCTTTCATGCCTCCTCTTCTTTCTTCAATCCTCCAACTACCTATTACCCGTGAATAAACACACCAGCTTAGTGATTGTTTATGAGCTAAAAATAAAAATTTCAGTTTGGTTTACATTAGAATATAACAGAGACTAGAATTTGCATATGCAGTAAGAAAAGGTCTTCTGTCATCAAAATTCCCAATAGAGAATATGAACTCAATACTTCTCAAGGTCTTTTGTTTTATATTATGAAAATTTCAAACATATAAAAAGTAGAGAGACGAAAACTATAAAACATTTCTGAAAGAAATTGAAGAAGACACAAAGAAATGGAAAGATATTCCGTGCTCTTGGAGTGGAAGAATTAACATAGTTAAGATGTCCATATTTCCTAAAGCCATCTATAGATTCAATGCAATCCCTATCAAAGTTCCAACAACATTTTTCACAGAAATAGAACAAAGAATCCTAAAATTTATATGGAACAACAAAAGACCCCGAATAGCTAAAGGAATCCTGAGAAAAAAGAACAAAGCTGGAGGTATCACACTCCCTGATTTCAAAATATACTACAAAGCTATAGTAACCAAAACAGCATGGTACTGGCACAAAAACAGACACACAGATCAATGGAATAGAATCGAAAGCCCAGAAATAAACCCACACATCTATGGACAGCTAATCTTTGACAAAGGAGCCAAGAACATACAATGGGGAAAAGAAAGTCTCTTCAACAAATGGTGTTGGGAAAACTGGATAGCCACATGCAAAAAAATGAAAGTAGACCCTTACCTTACACCATACACAAAAATTAACTCCAAATGGATTAAAGACTTGAATGTAAGACCTGAAACTGTGAAACTTCTAGAAGAAAACATAGGCAGTACGCTCTTCCACATCGGTCTTAGCAACATCTTTTCAAACACCACATCTGACCGGGCAAGAGAACCAATAGAAAAAATAAACAAATGGGACTACATCAAACTAAAAAGCTTCTGCACAGCAAAGGAAACCATCAACAAAACGAAAAGACAACCTAACAATTGGGAGAAGATATTTGCAAACCATACATCTGATAAGGGCTTAATCTCCAAAATATATAAAGAACTCATGCATCTCAACAACAAAAAAACTACCAACCCAATTAAAAAATGGGCAAAAGACCTGAACAGACATTTCTCCAAAGAAGATATACAGATGGCCAACAGACACATGAAAAGATGTTCAAAATCACTAACTATCAGGGAAATGCAAATCAAAACTACAATGAGATATCACCTCACGCCCGTCAGAATGGCTATAATTAACAAGACAGAAAACAATATGTGTTGGAGAGGATGTGGAGAGAAGGGAACTCTCATACACTGCTGGTGGGAGTGCAAACTGGTGCAGCCACTATGGAAAACAGTATGGAGATTCCTCAAAAAAATCAAGGATAGAACTACCATATGATCCAGCTATTCCACTGTTGGGTATTTATCCAAAGAACTTGAAAACACCAATTTGCAAAGGTACATGCACCCCTGTGTTCATTGCAGCGTTATTCACAATAGCCAAGACTTGGAAGCAACCTAAGTGCCCATCAAGGGACGAATGGATAAAGAAGATGTGGTATATATACACAATGGAATACTACTCAGCCATAAGAAACGATGAAATCCAGCCATTTGTGACAACATGGATGGACATTGAGGGTATAATGCAAAGTGAAATAAGTCAGAGGGAGAAGGTCAAATACCGTATGATTTCCTTCATTAAGTAGTAGATAATAACAACAATAAACAAACACATAGGGACAGAGATTGGATTGGTGGTTACCAGGGGGGAAGGGGGGAGGGAGGAGGGTGAAAGGGATAATTCGGTACATGTGTGTGGTGATGGGTTGTAATTAGTATTTGGGTGGTGAACATGATGTAGTCCATGCAGAAATAGAAGTACAATGATGTACACCTGAAATTTTTACAATGTTATAAACCAATGTTACTGCAATAAACAAAAAATTAAAAAAAAAAAAACATATGTTTTAATAATAATTTTACCTTATATTTCTGAAATAAACTCCAATTAGTTATGAGTTAAAAAAAATAAATAAATAAATAAAAAGTAGAGAGAATAGTATAATGAACCCACATGTACGCACCACCCAGTCTTGACAATTATCAGCTTATAGCCAATCTTGTTTCATTTGTACCCCCACGCTGTCTGCACCCTCCCACCTCCCAGATTTATTTTGAAGCAAGTCCCAGGCATCACATCATTTCATCCGTAAGTTTCTCACTAGGCATCTCTAAAAGATGGGGACCTAAAAAAAAATTATATATATATATATCCATATCTATATCTATGTATACATACAACAACACTATTAGAACACGTGAAAAATTCCTTACATCATCCATTAGCCAGTCAGTGAACATAGTATTTTTGTTTTAAACCCTACTTTGCATCTTGTTAAAGTTCATTCATTCATTCACTTAATAAATATGTATTAAATGTCTACCCTGTGCCAGGTACCACTCAAAGTACTGGGTAAGGAGACATCAATGAACAAAAGAGACAACAATCCCTGCTGTCCTGGAGTTTACATTCTGTGTGCAGCAGAGGAGCTATGAAAGGGTATGCAAAGGGGAAAAAAAGGAGGATTTTAAATTTCTTGACACCCATATGATATTGAATATTTACTGAAGTTCCAATCAAGAAACTCAGAGTACTTGTCTCTAGCTGATCACCAGGGGTACTATCAGTATTTGGATCCGCCCCAGCCTTGAATGAATGAACTCATGAGGAACTCAAAATGAGGTTCCTAGGGGATAGGTGTGCTCGATGGTTTGACTCGGTAAAAGCCGAGCGGAAACAGGGTACCCACTGACATCTACAGGCCAGAGATGCACAGAAGATAAAAGCACACGCATGAGTTATGGTCGAGCTGCTTTTACCTGAAATCCTCACCAGAGGGAGTTTCTGCATTTGTGCCACTTGGGCTTCCATCATCACTGTCCCCTCGCTGCTGTGCCAATCTGCACGCCACAAAAGCAATACAGTTATCGATTATGGGCTCCAACTCCAGCGGAGTATGGGGGGTCCCCCGCCCCGGCAAGCAGGGTACGGCCGAACAATCAACTAAAAATGCTGCAAGGTAGAAGTGCCTGGATCCTCCACTGCCTGTCACCTTGCCAGGGAAAACCCAAAAAACAGTGCTGACAAGAGCCCCTTCTCTCTCCAGGCCACCTAAGGGGTGGAGGAAAGGCTAAATTAAATATCCATAAGAGTCAAGGAAGTGTCCTCTTAATAACAGACTTCACAGGGCCAAGAGAGCCCCAGGAAAGCCGGCCAGGGCGGAGGAAAAAGAGGCCGCAAGGCCTGAGGATAACCAGAAGGTGGGCGTGGGGGTGGGGACGCGTGGGGGAAACGGAGGAAAGTGGGAGAGAACAACCGGAAGAGCAGGGGGTGGAAACTGACATTACCGAGTGTGCGAGGCACTGCGCTAAACAAAGGGCGGGGGCGACAGGAAGGGGACAGGGACAGATGGAGCGCAAAGGCTGGGAGGGCCGGGCACAAAGTCCAGGATGGGGCCCGGGAGGTCCGGCGGGAGGCGAGGAGGGCCCTCAAGGCCAGAGACCTTGGCCGGGAGAGGAGAGGACGGCGTTTGGGAGCGGCCAGGCTGCCGGGCCGGGGACGGGATGCGGGGCCCCAGGGGCGGCCGGGCGCTGCACCTGCTTCCGCGGTAGCTGTAGAGACAGTAGTGGCTGCTGGGCGGCGGCTCGAGTCTCCGCTCCTCGGCGGAGCCACCCTCCTCGCTGCTCTCTAGCTCCTTTTCATCCCCATCCAGCGATTCCTGCAAAGAGGGGAGCATCTCGGCAGCCTCTGAGTGGCCCTGTGTCCCCGCCAAACCGCTCCCCCGCTGCCGTACAGTCCTCGGTGGCCGGGCTCGTCCGGCTCGCGGCCCTCGCACGCCTGCGTTCCGCTGCTTTCCACGGGTTCCCGGGCGAGGAAGCTGACCTAGGAGAGCTTCTCGCCCCGCACGGGCTAGCGGGCGTACTCAATTTACCTTCACGGAAAAACCTACCCCATTTCTCTTTGAGCTCCTTTTTCTCCTCTGTCTATGGTTTAAGACGGCAAGCAGACTTAGAATAAAGCTCCTCTCCTCCATCTTTTTATTGCGCGCGAACACACACGCACACCAGTTTGATCAGAAATTTAGGAATTTAAAATGAAGTGCCCACCCCCAAAAAAGGTGAAAATATGAGAGAATGCTTTTTTAATTCTTGAAGAGGCCTTTCTAAAGATAACAAAACACTTAGAAGCCATATGGGGAAAGATTAATAAATCTGACTAGTAACAACTAAAAATTTCTGTGTGGCCCAAAATCAAAACACAAATGACAAACTAGGAAAAATATTTGCAACATATATAATAGATGAAGGACTGTCATTCATCAGTAAACAAAAAAATAGACAATGGGCAGTTCACAGAAGAAGAAATAAAAATGATGAATACATAAATAAAATGCTCAACTTCAAATAAAATTGATGGTATATTGTACTATTTTTCACCCAGCAGATTAGCAGAGATTTAAAAGTTTGATAATATCCTGTGCTGAGGTGTATAAGGAAGCAGGCATTCTCATAAACAGTTGATAGAAACAAAATTAATCCACATGCTTTGGAAAGAAATTTGAAAGTATCAGTATTTTAAATGCACATACCCTTTGACTATTAATGCAACACCAGGACATCAACAAATAGATGCACTCACGTAAGTGTGAAAATACATGAATCTAAAGATATTCCTTGCAATACGGTTTGTAATGATGAAAAACTGAACACAATATGAACGTTAGTCAATAGGGGACTGATTAAATAAGTTATGGTACATGCAGTGGTACGCAGAATGACGACTCCCCCAAAATGTCCACATTCTAATCTCTGAAACCTGAGAATATGTTACTGCACATAGCAAAAGGGACTTTACAGATATGATTAAATTAAGGCTCTTGAAATGGGAACGTTATTTTGGATTATCTAAACGTGCCTAATGTAATCACAAGAGTCTTTATAACAGGGAGGCAGGAGATCAGAGAGAAGGCAATTGTGACACCTAAAGCGGGAGACTGGAGTGATTTGGGACCGCAAGCCAAGGAATTTGGGCACTCTCTAGAAGCTAGAAAAGGCAAAAAACAGATTCTCCCCGAGAGCCTTCAGAAGGAATGCAGCCCTGCCAACCCATTTCAGACTTTTGACTCCCAGAACTGTAATATAATAAATTTGTGTTGTTGTAAGCCACTGAATTTGTGGTAATTTGTTATAGCAGCAATAGGAAACTAATGTGCATGTGTACCAGAAGACTATGCAGCTATTAAAAAGAATGAATTAGACTATGTGCACATATGGAGAGACAATCCAGTATTTAAGATTTTGTCCTAAAAGAGCTGGCAACACAACTGAAGAGAGAAGGCATACACATGGGAAAGGGCAGAATGTGATTACTGACAAAAAGTAATGTGGGCAGTCAGGGTGATCTTAGGAACCTCATTACCAGCCTCTTGACCATCTATGATCATAATCTGAGGACATTAGTCTTCACTAGTTGGTCTATCAACTGCCAACAGCAATAATAATATCAATATAGCATTATAGTTTAATAGTTGCCAGTTATTTAGCAGTAACCATGGGCCAGGATATTTACCTATTTTATTTCATTTATCCTTAGACCAACTCTGTAACAGAGGGGTTTATCCTCATTTTATAGATGAGGAAACTGAGGCTCAGTCAATATAAGTGATCAAACTGTGTCTATCTGACTCCCAAATCCATATTCAACTATTTTATACCGTATTCTCCTGCTTGGGTCTTAGAAACTACAGAGAATAAGGCTCTAATACGATGATGTACAGGGGCCTTCATAATCTAGCCTCTACCTGCCACTCTGACTTCATTTTCTATCACCTTGCCCCTTGCTCACTGCATCCTGGTGATTTCTTGGTGTTTCTCAAACACTTCAATTTTTTTTTGCACTTTAACAGTCTTTCATTTTTTGTGTGTGAGGAAGATCAGCCCTGAGCTAACATCTGATGTCAATTCTCTTCTTTTTTCTGAGGAAGACTGGCCCTGAGCTAACGTCATGCCCATCTTCCTCTACTTTATATGGGATGCCACCACAACATGGCTCGACAAGCAGTGCATCGGTGCGCGCCCAGGGTCCAAACCAGCGAATCCTGGGCTGCCGCAGTGGAGCGCGCGGGCACTTAACCGCTTGCGCCACCGGGCCGGCACGCCCTAATGGTCTTTTAATTTGCTCTTCTCTCTGCCTGGAATGCCCCCCAGATACTTGCATGTCTTCTTCCTTCATATCATTTATGTCTCTGCACAAATGTCACCTCCTGAGAGAGACCTCTGATTGCCCTAGACAATACGTCCCACACACACCTCCACTGCCATCCCATCAGTCTCTATCCTGGACACTCTTCCTGCTACACTACCCTACTTCACACCAGTTTCTTCTCTCACCCAGATTACTGTCACATTCTCTACCATCTGCCTCTCTCTCAACCTCCACTAATCTACTGTTCACACTGCAGCCAAAATGATGTTTCCAAAACTCAGATCTAATTCAGCTCCATACCTACTAACTCTGTGACCTTACACGAATTAATTCAACTCTCTTAAGCCTCTTTTTCTTCATCTACATTAACAGGGTGTTAATAATGGCACCTACAGCACAGGCTTGTTGAGGCAAGTAAATGCAAAACTTACCACAATGCCTGGCACACGATAAGAGCTCCATGGATGCCTATTATTTTTTCCTTTTAAGAGTAACTTACATTATTAGTTATTTCCATATGCCAAACTCTAAGAGCAGCCAAACGAAGTTTAAGTGACTTGCCCAGTCATGCATGTGGGGAGCGGCACCGGTGGGAAATGAACCCAAGCACTGGACTCTTAATCACCTATACTCTCACTTGCATTATTCTCTAATTGTCCTCTTAAAACTCCTCCGTTGCTTCCCAGAGACTTCAGCAGGAAGTCCAACTCAGACTGCTTCTGGGATCTCCGGAAGTCGTATTTGCCAGCCTTCCTACGACTGTCTTGCCACCAGCCCCTTCACTGGGAGCTTCGGCCCTACTACCACTAACTTTTTTCAGGGGCTCAGCCTCAAAAACTTGCACTTCTTGCTCCCCTAGTGAGACACCCTCTCCTGCACCTCTCTTGCTCCCACCGACCCTTCAGGAAACCTTTCTCGACACGCCAATGACCGCCAAGGCCCTGTAAGGGGTCTCCTTTTCTCACGTTCCGCAGCAGCTCTATTTCCCCCATCACCGCGCTGACCACACAGCGTTGTTTACTCATCTGTCACCAATCTGTGAGCTACCAGGCAGAGACTGCAACTTCTCTGACTCAGCAAGCAGTACGCAAACGTCCAACACAACTACAAAAACGATTACTCCGGGAAACGAGACAAAATTAAAAATCGGGCGCTGTCTTAATTATCCTTTACTGTAGTCTGCCCTTAATTACGCTGGTAATCTTTTCAGGTTTTTTATTTTTCCTTCAATTCGGGAGTGTCTCGGCGCACCTAGGTCGCCGGCATCCTTACACACGAAAGACAACGAGATCAGCAGGCACAGCCAGCAAACACGAGGACAGCTTACGCGGACAACATGGCGGCCGCCCCTCAGCGGCCGCGAATCTCCACCCACTCAGGGCGGAGGCCTGCGTCATGTGACTCTCCTCGGGCTGGCACCGCCTCCAGCCGCAGTGCCTGACGGGAGGCAGAGCAGCGAACGAGGGCGTCGGCCATTTTGTGTCTGTTTCCTGTGGGACGCGGTGGTGGCGGTTGGGTCTGAAGAGCGAGGGATTTTTCTCTTTGTTTTTCCTGCTAGTTTTCTCTTCCCTTTTCCTTTGTCGGTAGAGCGCGGTTATGGGTCGCAAGAAGAAGAAGCAGCTCAAGCCGTGGTGCTGGTATCCTTTGTCGGTTGAAGTCGAGGCCGAGCGGGGGCGCCGGTTGGTGTTGACTGGGAGGCCTGGCTTTGGCCAATGGCGGAGAGCGTCTGGGATCTAGGCCTCGGGGTGGGCGGCTTGGTGGCTGGAGTCGGATTTGGGAAGGCTTCTCGGAAAATAGGGTCCCAAGGGCGAGAGGTTCTGGCAGTTTTGGGTCGTGGGACTCCGTGACTCAGGAGGAGTTTGCTTTGGTTCGAGTGTTGCCCCATTGGGAGGCGACCCGGGCCCCTGCACCAAGGACAGTGTCCTCTAAGGACTGCTCCGCCACGCTCCTTGTTCTGGTGATGATTCAACAAAGGGACTTTCTTCGAGTATAATACGCTGATTGACTCTGGAGGATTGGGGAAGAGCTTCCAGAGTCAGTCACCCACTTTTTCTGTGTGTGTTTTTTTTCTTTTTTTTTGGTGGAATCGGTGGTTTAGT